CCCAGCGCGGCCTCTCCCCTCCCCCCCTCGGCCGCCGGCCAATGCCCTGACCCCACCTCACCGCGGCCGCCCGGATGACCACTGAGGAGAAGAGGAACTCGGCGGTCCGGAGCCAGCGCCGGAAGAGGCCGAGGCTGTTGGTGACGTCACTTCCGCCCAAGCGCCGGCCGCGTGGGCGGACGGCGGGGGGCTTCGGGGCCCGGCCTTCAAGCTGGTTGAACGACTCCCCGTGGATACACGAGCCTCCTCCCACCCGGGGGGGGGGGGCGGGCCAGGAGAGGGAGGGGGAGGTGGCTGGAGCACAATGCTGAGTCGACAATTAGGCCTGGGGGCGGGGCTGCGGCTGGGGCACGCCCGGCCCGACTCCAGCGGGAAAGCTGCCCGCCAGGCTCGGGGCGCAGGCCTGTGGCTCCAGCTACTCCGGAGGCAGAGCTCTGAGGACCGCAGCTCGAAGCCAGACAGGGCAGGAAAATGCAGGGTGAGACTCTTTATCTCCAATTCACCACCAGAAGACGGAAATGGTAGAGTGCTAGTCTTCAGCAAAAAAGAACAGGGCTCAGGCCTGAGTTCAAGCCCCAGGACGAAAAGAAAGAAAGAAAAAAGAATAGGATAAGGAAACTTCTACTACTTACCCAAGCTGCCGGAGAAATTGCATTGATCACCACCTCACCCCCATAATGAAGCCTGACAATCTTCCCCCATCCAAATAGTCTTTTTCTTTTTCTTTTTTTTTAATCTGTGCTAGTCCTAGGATTTGAAGTCAGAGCCTGGGAAATACCCCTTAGCTTTGTGCCCAAGGCTAGCGCTCTATGTTCCACTTGTGGCTTTTTGGTGGTTAATTGGAGATGAGGGTCTCACAGACATTCCTGGCTGGGCTGGCTTCCACCTTGGATCCTCAGATCTCAACCTCCTGAATAATGTGAGACACCTTGATTTCCTCTTTCAAAAAGATCTTCGTTTGATGCAATCGCATTTTTCAAGTCTCTCTCCTATTTGCTCAACCCCTGAATTCCTGCCTCTGCCAATAAGTTCTATTCTTTCCTTTTTGATCCAAGCCTAGAACTCAAACTCAGAACCTGACAATTTCACTCATTAATTAGTATTCTACCGAATGAACCACACCTCCAGCCACAAGCCAATAAGTTCTAATGTTTCTCCTACTCCTTCCAGTATTATTGTTAATGTTTCAGGTCTAACATTGAGGTCTTTGATCCATTTCAAATAGATATTAACAACATGGCAGACAGGGATCCAAGTTTCAGTCTTCTACATATGGATGTGCAGTTTCCCCAACCATTTGTCAAAGAGGCTGTATTTTTTTCCAACATATATTTTTGGCTCCCTTGTCAAAAATCAAATGGCTCTATGCATATGGGTTTATTTTTGGGTCTTTTAGTCTGTTTTTGTACTAATACCAAGCTGTTTGTGTTACTATGACTCTGTGGTAAAGTTTGAAAGCTGGAATGCTGATACCCCCAGCATTGCTTTTTTTTTCTTGATTAAATCAAGCTAAAAAGTTTCTGCACAGAAAAGGACAGTTCCTATGCTAAAAAAGAAGGGTACAGGATGAGACAAGATCTTTGCAGCTGTACTCTGACAAGGCCCTAACATCTAGAAAATACGAGGAGCTCAAAACTAATCACCCAAAGAATCAATAGCCCAATTAATAAATTGGCAAAGATCTAAACAGACGTCTCCAAAGAAGTAAATTGGTCAATAAACACATGAAAAAAAAATGAGCATGCATCACTGGCCATGAGGGAAATGCAAATCAAAATAACATTGAGATTCTATCTCATCCCAGTAATTAAGAATGGATATCAAAAATACGACTCTAAGTCCCAGTGGTTCATGCCTATAATCCTAGCTAATCAGGAGGGTAAGATCTGAAGACCACAGTTCAGAGCCAGCCCAGACAGGAAATGCAATGAGACTCTTATCTCCAATTAACCACCAAAAAACTCAAAGTGAACCTGTAGTTCAAGTGGCAGAGCTCCAGTCTTAAGTGAAAAATGTCAGGGAGAGTGCTCGGGCCCTGAGTTCAAGTGCCAGCACACAAAAAAATTCATCCATCAGGAAGAACAGGAAGAAAAATATATGATATTATGTCATTTGCAGGAAAATGTACAGACCAGGAGAAAATGCAGGCTCATAGAGACAAAGAACACATTTTATCTTATATTTAGAAGTTATATCTAAATTATAAACATATATATGAAAATATATACTGGATCAATGCATACACACACACACAAAGAAATTGGCTAAAGTATGCTATACCAAGGAGAGGATCCTAATGGTGTAACTTCTTTGAACAACTAACTTACAGTTTAACAAAATGAATGCCAAGAAACTGAAACATTGGGGGGGGGGGGGTAAGGGGAAGAGCTCAGAGAGAGAGGGGCAGTAAAATGGAGAGAGGAAGAGTGGGTGATGATATGCAATGCATGCATGTGAAAATGGAACCGGGTAACTTAAGGAGATGGAGTTGGGAGAAATGGGGAGAAAAGAGTGGCATTGTAAAGGTGCACTGTTCTTATAAACTGACATGTTAAATTGAAACCCCTTTGTACAACTAAACATCTTTTAATTAAAAATAAGTAAAATAAGCCAGGTGCGCGTGGCTCATGCCTGTAATCCTAGCTACTCAGGAGACTCAGATCTTAGGATCACAGAAGCCAGCCCAGGCTAGAAAGTCCGTAAGACTTAATCTCCAATTAACCACAGAAAACCAGAAGTAGTGCTGCTGTGGCCCAAAGTGGTAGAACACTAGCCTTGAGCAAAAGAGCTCAGGGACAGCACTCATGCCCTGGGTTCAAGCCCCACGACCGACCAAAAAAAAAAAAAAAAGTAAAATAAAAAGGTTTTAGGACACACCACTGAAAACGGGGGTGGAAAGGAGGGGTGCAACATGTTCATGGTGGAGGGAGTAAAGAAGTTCAAAGCACACTATATGCATTATAGAATTATCACAGTGAAACCCCTTCAGATTAATGTATTCCTAAAGGAAAAAATTGTTTTAATTAAAAACAAAGTTTTAGAGGTTGGGGCATGGCTCAAGTGACAGAGTCTGCAAGAAAAGAAATGTGATATTTGTCTTTCCCAGCTTGCCTCCTTTCACGTAATATGATGATCCCTAATTACATCCAATTTACTTCTGTGCCAATACAAAAGTACTTGTACTTAACTCAGGGCCTGGGCTCTATCCCTGAGCTTTTTCCACTCAAGGCTGGTGCTCTACCATTTGAGCCACAGCTCCACTTCCAGATTTTTGGTGATTCACTGGAGATAAGAGTCTCACAAACTTTTCTGCCCGGCATGGCTTTGAACTGTGTTCCTCAGATCTCAGCCACCTGAGTTAATTAGGACTACAGCTATGATCCACTGACTTCTGTTCATAGCATCTAGATTCATTTACTTCATGGAAAAACTTTTGGTATTCATACAGAGAAATATCCAAACCTAAGTGCCTGAACTTTTCGTTTTCAAAAGTAAATACAAGTCTTGCAACAACAATGCCAAACTGTCAGACGAAACAGCTACAAACACAGGATGACAATCCCCTTTTGAGAGAGCCAAGGAGCCTCACACCTGCAAATCCCAGCTATTCGGGAGGCACTAGTAGGAGGATCGAGGACAGAGGCCAGCCCCGCCCCCTTCCCCAGAAAAGCCAAGATCCCGAGAACTAAAGCCAAAGGTCTGGGGGGCGTGGCTCAAAGGTAGAGCTGCTGGCCGGCCCTGAGTTCAAATCCTAGTGAGGCAAGAAACAACAACAAAAAACAAAAAAAAAAAACCTTAGAAACCACGTTCACCCGGAGCTCACCAGAAAACGGCAGAAGGACCCCGGAGGCTGTTCTGCACCGACCTCAAACCGCGGCTATTCGGTCCCTTCAGGAAAACAATTAACAAAAGGTTACTTAAGACCAGGTGTAGGGGAGGAGGGACGCACGGCGGGCGAGAACCCCCCGCGCATGCGCACATCGCGCCGCGCCGCGGCCCAACCCTGGCTCCTCGCTGGGAACCCAGGCCCTGGAGAGCGCCGGAGCGGGAAGGACCCGGATGTCGGGGGCCTAACGTACCGAGCCTAAGAACGCTCGTTCTGAGTGAACCCCGTTATCCGTCGCACACATCTTCCATCCTCCATCTTAGTCACAAGGTTCTCACCCGAAGCCGCCCCAGACTGGATAAGCACCGAAAAAGAAAAATAAATTAAAAATAGCAGTAAGGGGGTTGCGGAGGGGCGGGGAGAGGAAGCGTTGATGACGTCACTTCCGCTCGCCACAGGATGAATCCGGGCTGCAACCCGCCTAAGGGCAGCGACTTTGGACCGCCTCTGGAGAGAAGTCATTGGTTCCTACTGGGAGGGGACCGGTGTTCCACGGAGGCTTCTCCGCGAGTGGGCTGCCCGCGGAGCCCCACACACACGGCAGGCTGAGCTTAGAGCGAGGACGCTCCAGACCTAGTGCATGGATCCTAGAACAAAAAGGCAGGAGTTGGGGTGGGATCACCCCTAGGATGCAAACAAAAACCTCTTCTCCAGTGCTCTGCATTTTTCAGCCTGTGATTTTTTTTGTGGTTGTCATGGATGCTAATCTATGAAATGGTCTATCTTCTACATTCAATCACGATGTTGATTTGTCTTTCGTGGGTCTTGAACTCGGCCTGGGCGCTGTCCCTCAGCTCTTCAGCTCGAGGCTAGCCCTCTACCACTTGAGCCACAGCACCACTTCCGGCTTTTTCTGCTCCTGTGGTGCTGAGGAATCGAACCCAGGGTCTCATGCATGCGAGGCAAGCGCTCTACCACTGAGCCACCTTCCCAGCCCGACTCCTTTTTTTTCCCCAGAGCCTCCTGCCTAAGCTCAACGCTGAGCCACAGCCCCAACTCATCTTATTTCTTCAGCCCTAATGCTTGCTCTTTTCATTTCTCAATACTTTTGTGTGTTTTACAAGCCAACTTTTTCAAGTTTTTTTTTTTTTTACTTTTTTGATACTTTTTTTTTTCTAGTACTCATGTTTGTTGTGATTTCGGGTGCCTGGCCTTTTCAGTTCAATAAATTTATACCAGCCGGGAGCCGGTGGTTCACGCCTGTCATCCTAGCTACTCAGTAGGCTGAGATCTGAGGACCACGGGTTCAAAGCCAGCCTGGGCAGGAAAGTCTGTGAGACTCTTCTTTCCAATAAAACCACTAAAAAACCGGAAGTAGTGCTATGGCTCAAGAGGTAGAGCACTCACCTTGAGCTGAAGAGCTGAGGGACAGTGCCAAAGCCCAGAGTTCAAGCCCCATGACCGACCAAAAAAAAGTTTATATCTATGCCAATAGCACATTTTATCGAGAATTGTTCACATGATATCAAGTGTTTTACACAACTGTCAAGATCTTGTCTTGCTTTTTTTTCTTTGATGTACAATATATCATTATTCTGTAGCTACTTAAAGCTTCTTCTGGTTTCCAACTTTGCTTAAAGCTTTCTTCAGCTAGGCAGCAGTAGCTCACTCCTATAATCCTAGCTACTCAGGAGGCTGAGATCTGAGGATCGTGGAAGAAAGCTGGTCTCTTATCTCCAATTAACCACCAAAAAAAAAAAAAAAACAGAAGTACAGCTGTGGCTCATGTGGCAGAGACAGCACCCAGACCTTGAGTTCAAGCCCCAGAACTGGCACCAAAAAAATAAGTTATCTTCAGGTAAAACAGGTTCAGCTACCAGTGGGGGAAGGGGGCGACCAGTTAAGAGAGAATGAGGTTGAATATAGTCGTTTATTTGCATATATGAAAATAGAACAATAGAAACTGTTTAAACTATTTTAAGAAAGGGGAGAGGAATGAGGGAGTGTCATAAAGGAAGGAGAGTGGATCCAAATACATTATTTACATATGTGGAAATATCATGATATAACTAGCTAGCTAGTAGCTCCCACCTGTAATCCTAGCTACTCTGGAGCTGAGATCTGAGAATTGCAGTTTTGTTTTTTGTGTTTTGTCAGTCACGGGTCTTGAATTCTGGACCTGGGCACTGTCCTTCAGCTCTTCAGCTCAAGGCAAGCGCTCTACCACTTAAGAAACAGCGCCACTTCCAGTTTTCTGGTGGTTAACTGAGATGAGTCTCATAGAGATTCCTCCCCGGGCTGGCTTTGAATGACAGTCCTCCAGATCTCAGCCTCCTGAGTAGCTAGGAATACAGGTGTGAGCCTCCGGTGCCCAGCAGGATTGCAGTTTAAAACCAGCCTGGGGAGGACTCATCTCTAGTTAATCAGCAAAAAGTCAGAGTTGGATCCGTCTGTCAAGAAGGAGAGTATCAGCTTTGAGTAAGAAAATGTAAAGGACAACACCCAGGAACTGAGCTCAAGCCCCATCATTGGCACAGGAAAAAAAAAGTAATGAGTCTTATATTCCCAGTGGCCTCATACTCCTGCTAGGAAACTCCAATTCCTGCTCAGGAAACAATAAAATCACAATATAATTACCTTGCATAGACAAAAGCTTCTATGTGAATTTTGAGAACTTCCATGATATACTGCAATAATAAAGGATTTTATGATGAAGAAAAAAATTCTTGGGCTGGGAATGTGGCTTACTGGTAGCATACTTGCCTAGCATGCATGAAGCCCTAGATTTGATTCATCAGTACCACATACACGGAAAAAGCCAGAAGGGCACAGTGGTACAGTGCAGCCTTGAGCAAAAAAAGCTCAGGGACATTGCCCAGGCCCTAGGTTTAAGCCCCAGGACTGGCAAAAAGAAAAAATTGTGATGAAGCCTGAATTCAAGGCCTGGGCTCTGTCCTTGAGTTTGTTTCTATACTCAAGGATAGTGCCCTAACACTTGACCCACAGGCTCGACTTCCAGCTTCTTTAGTGGTGAATTAGAGATAAGAGATCCATGGACTTTCCTACCCCAGCTGGCTTCAAACTTTGATCCTAAGATCTCAGCCTCCAAAGTAGTTAGGATTACAGGCACGAGCCACCAGTGCCTGCCCAAATATTTCTAATACTTAATCTACCATTTTGACAGTGCACCAATATGGTTATCAAAAGCTTTACATGTCATTATGAATATATTGGGTTTTTTTTAAGGAAGGCATTTCTAAAAACTTTTCTAGGGATTCACATCTGTTATGTGTGTGCTGTATGTGCAAACACAGCTACACAGGTGTATTGGGGCCTGAACTCAGGGCTTCTTGCTCTCACATAGCCATTTTTCACAAGGTGGATGCCCCACTTGCCTTTTTTGCTTGTCAATTGGAAATAAGAGTCTCAAGGATTTGTCTGCCCTCACTGTTTTGAACCATGATCTCAACCTCCTGAGTAGCTAGGATTACAGACATGAGCCACCAGGGCCCAGCTTCAGGTGAGTATTCTTTAGAGAGGTACTTGGTACTCTTCCAACAGGATTAATGAAGGGGTCATGTAGCAATCCCTGCAGGTTATCATCTAGGGTGGAGTCAGCCTTGAACTGGGGGCAATAACTCCTATACCTGAAAGGAACTGAATGAGTCCCAACACATTCTTCCAGAAACCATGATCCCAAATCCCAACTAAACTCCTTCTTTGCAGCCATGTGTGGAGAAAGAAAATAAGCTGAATACAGTGGCTCCTACTTGTAGTCTCAGCTTCTTGGGAGCCTGAGTTTAGAAAGGATAGCCATTTGATACAGGATGGTACAAAACAGCTAATGAGACCCCATCTTAGTCAATAAGCCAGGCATGGCAATTCATACCTGTGGTTCCATATGCTACAGCTAGAACTACAGTCTGAGGCCGGTCCTGTGCAAAAAAACCAAGGCCTTTTCTGAAAAATAACCTAAGCAAAAAGGGCTGGTGTGGCTCCAGTTATAAAATACCTGCTTAGCAAGCCACAGTACCCTTAATTGAAACCTCAGTACCTTTTCACAGAAAAATCTAGGTACCAGCCGGGTGCCAATAGCTCACGCCTGTAATCCTAGCTACTCAGAAGGCTGAGATCTGAGGATCGTGGTTGAAAGCCAGCCCAGGCAAGAAAGTCCGTGAAATTCTTATCTCTAATAAAACACCAGAAAACAGGAAGTGGCGCTGTAGCACAAGTGGTAGAGTGCTAGCTTTGAGCTGAAGAGCTGAGGGACAGTGCCCAGGCCCTGAGTTCAAACCCCACGACTGACCAAAAAAAAAAAAAAATCTAGGTACCAAACCATACACTGTATGATAAATAAGACCCAAAGAACAAAGGTTTTAGGGTAATGGAGTACATAAATTCCCAAGACTTGGGGGGTTGGAAGGAAGGGTACCTAGATCTGAAGATAGAGAGCTACTGCCTAGGCAAGCCAAGTTCAAAACTCACTAATGAAAAAAAAAAAAAATCCGGCTGGGAAGTTGGCTCAGTGGTAGAGTGCTTGCCTCCCATGCTTGAGGCCCTGGGTTCGATTCCTCAGCACCACATAAACAGAAAAGGCCAGAAGTGGCACTGTGGCTCAAGTGGTAGAGCACTCGCCTTGAGCTGAAGAGCTGAGGGACAGCGCCCAGGCCCAGAGTTCAGGCCCCATGACCGGACCCAAAAAAAAAAAAAAAGAAAAAAAAATCCAGACAAGATAATGCAGAGCTGATCCAGTCACAACAAAGCTGAGATTGAAAGCACACCAAGACTAAAGTCCATTCAAATTCATCACAATTTAATTAGGAACTACAAATTCCATCAAGTGTGTTAAGCTTAGTGTGTATTTCGACATTATTGTGTTAATGGAATATGGGATTATAACTTTGAAATCACTGAGGCAGGCCACCTTAAGCTACCCAGTGAAACCCTGTCTAAAAGACATAATATATCTGATCCTGGCCTCAGCCAGGATGAGAAAAATGCTAGGGTCTAACAACCTTTCATCAGGTCTTCTATAAAGACAAACCTAATGATGTCCCCGTGCTTGTGGATGAGTTATTCTGTAGTACAAGTCTACAAGGTCTGTTTGGCCTAAAGTCTAGTTCAAGTCCATTTTTTACTTGGACTTGCTAAAGTGTCTCCTACTCTTGTTCTTCTACACTTGTTACTTCACCTTACAGATATGTTAATATCTGCCTTCTACACTTGAGTATTCTATATTTTGGTTTATATATATACAAATAGATTTCTTTGGGGGTGGGAGAGAGGTACTGAATTTGAATCCAGGGCCTTATGTTTGCTAGACAACTGTTTTACCACTTGAGCCAGACCCCTGGCCCTTTTTCACTTTTGTTATTTTTCAGAGAGGGTCTCACATTTTTCTGACCATGCAATTCTCCTAGTCTTCTACGTAACTGGAATTAAAGGCATGAGCCACAATCCCTGGCTTATTGGTTGAGATGGGTTCTTGCTAACTTGGGGATTGTGCTGGCCTGAACTCCAGTCCTCCCATCTCTGCCTGCCAAGTACCTGGAACTACAAGCATGAGCTACCATATCCAGCTGAATCCATATACATTTATAACTGTTACATTTTGTTGACATGACCACTGTGTCACCTTTCATCTTTCCCTCTATTTTCAGGTTGTTCTTGGGAAAAAAAAAATCTAAAGACTGAATAAATTGAAATCCCATGCTGGGCCTACTATCAAGTGTGGAGACCTGATTTCAAACCCTAGTATCTCTAAAGAAAAATGACAACTACCCTACAGGAAGAAATCCCTTTCTGAGTTTCAAACTGAAGACATAAAACCACTGTTCACACTGCTACACCCATAGCAGCAGTATGAAAACCACCTAGGTACTCCTTGACAGAACAATGAATAATAATAATACATGGTCTTCAACAAAATAGCCAGAGAAGAGGAAAGCCTATCATTTGCCATAACACAGTTCAAGCTCAAAGACATTATATTAATTCAAATAAGCCAGATACAATAAGACATAGATCTCTGAGAACCTGGTAGGATTCACAACAGAGACTAAACGATGCCTTCCAGGGTCTTGGGAGGGATGGGTATGATGGGAGAAAGGGTACGAATGACACTGGTCAAAGACAGAAGCTGTGAAATATTAAGGTGTCAATTACAACATGGGGAGCTGAGTTAAAGCCAGGGCAGCACAAAGCGCTCCATGAGACCACAAAGAAACAAACAATGTGGGGCACAGACACACGGAGATCCTATGTCATCGCTTCACAATGTGTAAGGACCTGCTACCACGGGGGGGGGGGGGGGGTCCTAGATAAAAACAAGTTTCCAATCCTCTCTAATTGGGAAATTTTAAAAAGGAAAGCGCCAGTGAAAACTAGAAATGTATAAGGAGGTCATAAAAATACACAAATCTAGAAATACTTGAAATATTTAAAAATTTATCTGTAGAACCACCTAGAAGGCCATGTCCTCTGTCATACCAAGCCCATATTATGAACGGGTACTTTCTGTTCAGTGCGAAGCACCACTCAGTCAAAGGGGCAAGTGAAATCTCAAATCCCATCAAGCTTCTCTCCACTGTGAGACACTGGGTGAGAATGGCCTTTTCTATGCCTGCATCAATAAGTTCTCTTTGCACTACTTCCTGGATCTAGTAAAGACTTGCATGAGGACTAACGCTTCACCTGTTTCCTGTGAGAGCAGGATGACTCAAGCACAATCCCTAGATTCATGGAGTACTGACAGTCTTCATGTCTTAGAAGCAAAAAGCAACAATTGAATGCTTTTATATATATTGCTAATAGACCTAAGAGTCCTTAAGACTGTCAGTTCAATTTCAATTACAAAGAAAAGGGTGGATGGCTTCCCCTCACCTCTCACCCTCCACCCCGCCCCCCCCCAAAAAAAAACCCACAAGACTTTCTGACATCCTTTCATTCAAAGGGCTTCTTCTCTCCAGGAAGGATTCTCCTGTTCATTTGCAGCAGGATCAGCGAAGGCTGGCTCACAGTCCTTGTAGTCATAGGGTTTCTCTCCAGTATGTTTTCTCACATGCTTATTAAGGCCTGAGTGCTCGGTAAAGGCTTTTCCACAGTACTGACACACATAGGGCTTCTCTCCGGTGTGGATGCGCATGTGCACACGCAGGTAGGAGGACCACAGGAACGACTTGCCACATATCATGCACTGGAAGGGCTTCTCGCCAGTGTGCGTGCGCATGTGGACGGGCAGGTACGAGGAGCACGTAAACGTCTTCCCACACACAGTGCACTGGAAGGGCTTCTCCCCCGTGTGGATTTTCAAATGCACATTGAGATACGAGGAGGAGGCGAAGGCCTTCCCGCAATGGTCACACTCGAAGGGCTTCTCTCCCTTGTGACTTCGGATGTGCGCGATGAGGCCTGAGGACGTGGTAAAGGCTTTGCCACACTCCTGGCACGCGTAGGACTTCTCCCCCGTGTGATTCCGTAAGTGGATCGTAAGGCCAGAGCGAGCCGTGAAGGCTTTCCCACAGTAACTGCATTTGTAGGGTTTGACTCCAGTGTGAATTCTAAAGTGGGTCTCCAGGGATGAGGAGTTGCGGAAGGATTTGGTGCACACCTTACACTGAAAGGGCCTCTCGTTGCTGTGGGTTTTGATGTGCACAGTGAGCTGGGCAAAGCTGGTGAAACCCTTCCCACACTCCTTACATTCGTAGGGCCTCTCGCCAGTGTGTGTCCTGATGTGCTTGGTAAGGCACGAGCGCTCGGGGAAGGTTTTCCCGCACTCCTTGCACTCATAGGGCTTCTCGCCTGTGTGTGTGCGCATGTGGATGCGCAGGTAGGACGAGCGCGTGAACGTTTTCTCGCACAGGGTGCACTCGAAGGGCTTCTCCCCGGTGTGGGTCCGCAAGTGGGCTACCAGAGACGACGAGTGGGCCAAGGCCTTCCCACACTGGTAACACTCGAAGGGCTTTTCGCCTGTGTGGATCCGGATGTGCTCCACGAGGCCCGAGGACGTGCCAAAGGCCTTGCCGCACTCCTTGCACTCGTAGGGCTTCTCGCCATTGTGGATGAGGACATGCTTGGTGAGGCCCGAGCGCGCCGTGAAGTCCTTCCCACAGTAAGTGCACTTGTACGGTTTTATCCCGGTGTGGATCCGAAAGTGGGTCTTAAGGCAGGAGGAATTGCGGAAAGTCCTCGCACACACCTTACAGCGGAAGGGCTTCTCACCCGTGTGAGTCTTGATGTGCTCCGTGAGCTGGGCGAAGCTGGTGAAGGCTTTATCACACTCAGGGCAGGGGTAGGGCCTCTCTCCCGTGTGCTTGCGCAAGTGGATGGTGAGCCATGAGCGCCCGCTGAACGCCTTCCCACACACTTTACACTCATACGGCTTCTCTCCGGTGTGAGTTCGAATGTGCCCCAGCAGGTAGGAGGAGCGCGTGAAGGCCTTCCCGCACACATGACACTCGAAGGGCTTCTCTCCCGTGTGCGTGCGCAAGTGGGTAGTGAGGTACGAGGAGGACGCAAAGGCATTCCCACACTGCTCGCACTGAAAGGGCTTCTCCCCCGTGTGGCTTCTCATGTGCTCGGTGAGGCGCGAGGGCTGGATAAACGCTTTGCCACACTCCTTGCACTCGTACGACTTCTCGCGCGCGTGTTGCCGTAGGTGGACAATGAGGCCCGAGCGCTCAGGGAAGGCTTTTCCACACTCCTTACAATCATAGGGCTTCTCCACAGGGTGGCTTTGCATATGGATATTCAGGTAGATGGGATGTGTGAAGAACTTGTCACATTTCTTACATTCATAGTATTTCTTTCCAGTGGGCGGTTGACCACATCCATCATGGCTTGTGGGGCGAGTTAAAGCTTGCCCACATTCCTCGGATTTGCAGACATTTTCTCCATCGTGCGTTTTCCTATGGGCCTCGAGGTGTGACTCATCACCAAAGGCCTCCCCACAATCGCTGCAGTCAAAGAATTTATCCAGAGGGAGCACGGCCCCGTTTACACTCTGGGACCCCAGAGAACGTTTCTCTTCAGCAGACGTCTCCTTGAACAGCAAGAAGGCTTTCCCACACCGACCACACTCTGAAGTGTGCTCTGTATTTGCACTACTCGTGTGTGTCTGAAGATCTGAGTGTTCACCAAAGACTTTTCCAGCTTGCTTAGAGTCACAGAGCTCCCCTCCACTGTGGCTTCCTGCCTGCTTGTAATAAAGGGACGAATGAATGATGGTTAAAGGATTTTCCAGACCCATACAGAACTGGGTACTTGGGGTGATTCACACTAGGTTTGGGGCATCTTTCCATGGAAACTGTTCCCCTGAATCAGTGCTTAGAATCCCAGCCCTCAGAGGTTGAGTCAATAATCACAAAAGTTCCCAACCAGCTGGGTGCCATTGGCTCCTTCCCATAATCCTAGCTACTCAGGAGGCTGAAATCTGAGGATTACGGTTAGAAGGCAAACCAAGGCAGGAAAGTTCTTGAGACTCTTAGCTCCAATTACCCACCAGAAAACCAGCAGTAGTGCTATGGCTCAAGTGGCAGAGCACTTGCCTTGAGGTGAAGAACTCAGAGATAGCACCCAGACCCAGAGTTCAAGCCCTACAACTGACAAAAAAAAAAAAAAGGAAAAGGAAAGTTCCATGCCAGCCTGGGCTACACAGAAATTGAGAAATTACAAGGTCAGACGAGGTTATAAAGCAAGGAAGGAACAAAATGGGAAATGACTACTTTGTTCAAATTATCTCTCTTTCATACTGATTTCTACTAGGGAATTCCCAGTCTTCCGTGAACTTGGAAATTAAGAAGAGAACACTTGTGAATCTTACCAGTAGTTTCCTATTTGATGCATCGGACCAAACGATATCTCGTTCAACTGCTGTACCTTTGGTTTTAATATGCATTTCCCATTCTGTAATGAAACACAAAAATATGTCTAAGGGGCCGGGCGCCAGTGGCTCACACCTATAACCCTAGCTACTCAGGAGGCTGAAATCTGAGGATTGCTGTTCAAAGCCAGCCTGAGCAGGTACCTTTGTGAGACTCTTATCTTCAATTACCACCAGAAAACCGGAAGTGGTGCTGTGGCTCAAGTGGTAGAGACCTAGCCTTGAGATGAAGAGCTGAGGGACAGCGCCCAGGCCGAGTTCAAGCCCCACGACTGACCAAATTAAAAAAAAAAAAAAAGACAAAACTCAATTCTGTGTTCTTACTAAAAATGCTAAACAATAATATAAGGATAGTCTCACACAGTTTGCCTACATCTAAAACTGGCCATCATAAGTCTATGGGATCAAAGTAAGTTTATTAACAAATTTCCTATGACAGTGAACTGTAATGGTAAATCAGCTGCACAAAGAGAACCATAAACTCCAAGTGGAAGAGAAGAGGCCACTGCTGAGATCACAGAAAAGGCAGCCTAGAGTGGGGAGTTGAAGACATCCCGTAATCAGTCCAATGACCTCAGCCTTCATTCAAGTTGAGCTTTAAAAGATTTCAAACGCACTACCATGTCCAAGTCTTTCACAAATGCTTACCTTGGAGAATGCCTTGCTCCACTATGGTCAACTCCACTTTTTCCTCCAACCAAGAGATCAGGCTGGGTTTGAACAGCTGACCTCCTATATACAGAGAAATTTGAATCAGTGGATGAGACAGAAAGCTATCTAAGGAGGGATAAGAATGATTCCTATGCAGCTCAAAATACAAATATTCATGCTTTAGTGTCATGAACAGATTCCTTTTCTCTGACTCAAGAAACCCATGTCCAAGGCTTAAACTTCTATTTACCCACTCCTATTTACATGGGTGTAATACACCCATAGTCTTAGTCATTTACTAATAGTGTTATTTAAAAGAACCAATCCCACCAGTACTTTTCTTCTATTAAGTAGTAAGTGAAGTCACTTTTTTTTTAAATCACAAATATTAGGCAAGCACTCTTTCAATGAGTCATATTACCAGCCTAAGTTTTCAATCTTAAAGGGAAAAACAACAATCCTGGTTCTGATCTTGAGTGAAACAGATCCACATGGAAAAATTAGTAAAAACATGGACAGAATTTCCGAGTGCATATTTCTAACACAGCTCAAGTGATGTCTTGGTTCTGGAAGCATGGTTAGTTGAGAACCACTGTAACAGGTAGCACTGCTAGGGAATCTGTTCTTTCCACCTGTATTCTGAGCAGACATCACTAATGCTGGGACATTTCTGCTCTCTCCAGGGCTGCAGGGAAAGGTGCAGCCCTACCCACTGTGGCCAGGTTCCGGTAATTCTCCAGCATCACGTCTCTGTACAGGCTTCTCTGTGTCGGGTCCAAGGACATCCACTCCTCCGGGGTGAAGTCCACAGCCACATCCTCAAAGGTCACTGAGCCCTGTATGAACACAGATATGCCAATTTAAACAAAGTAGCATCTCCACCAATAATTACTGAAGGAGAAGGAAATGACACCAATGCCTATCAAGGATGTCCTAGAACATCACTCTCTCTGCACACTCACTCACTATGGTCTCCTCCAACCCATGACCTTTGGCATCTCTTACAGGCCAACATAACCTTGGCCTATTTTCCCCTATAATGAGCACACTCCTGAGCACAGTGAGAACTGTTCAGAAATGACAACACATGAACACATCCTGTGGGAAAAAATAATTTTGATCTTGCTTGAACACCCAGAAAAACAAACAGCTAACTGGCATTGGGGAATTTAAGACTCCCATAACTCCTAGAATACTGACATATTTTTCACTCCCTCAATAACATGTGATGTGTGCCATTTTCTGGAAATTCAACCAGAGATTCAGCCTTGGCATGGGTCTTTTTCAGTTCTAACCAGTTTGAGACAGATATCTACAAGAAAATGTGTACCTGGGGGCTGGGAAGGTGGCTCAGTGGTAGAGCGCTTGCCTTGCATGCATGAGGCCCTGGGTTCAATTCCTCAGCACCACATAAGCAAAAAGAAAAAAGCCGGAAGTGGCGCTGTGGCTCAAGCGGTAGAGCGCTAGCCTTGAGCTGAAGAGCTGAGGGACAGCGCCCAGGCCCAGAGTTCAGGCCCCAGGACTGGAACCAAAAAAAAAAAAGAAAATGTGTACCTGGCTTATAGGTTTAACTACATCATATGAAAGGACAACTTGTTTCACATTAACTTTGGACATTCCTACATTCTTCATTGATAGAATGAATCCTCATAGACTTTGTTCCATGCCCTCAAATGTGAAACCTATTTCTCCAAAATACCTCTCCATGTCCTAAACAGAATCCTTAATTTTGTCTCAATATATAAAACAGAAAATATATTTTGCTAAACTTACCCTTTGTGTACCCCTACAGGTATGGCCGGTAAAAAAGTCTGGCTGAAGCACTAAATCTTTGGTTTGTAGTTGCATTTCCAACTCTGAAATTAAACCCAAAAAAAAAAAAAACCAATATGAAATAATTTATGTCTAAAGAACAAAATGGAGGGCTATAGGGAGCAGCCTTATGACTATAAAAGGGGCACTATTTGGGGGTGGGGAAACAAGTAGGAGTGGGAGGAGAGAGGGAGGAAAAAGGAGAGTATGATAGCGGAAAATACGTTATAGTTATGTATAAAAATAGCATAATGAGCCAGGGCCAGGTATGGCCCACACCTATAATCCTAGCTATTCAGGAGGCTGAGATCTGAGAATCTGCCCTACCTGGGCAAGAAAAGTCCCTATGGTATTCTTCTTTCCAATGAACCACTCAAAAACCTGAAGTAGGGCAACAGCTCAAAGTGAAAGAATGCTAGTCTAGCTCAGGGACAGTACTTAGGTCATGAGTTCAACCCCACGACCAACCAGGAAAAAAAAAAAAGACATAATGAAACAAACCCACAAAGAACTGTAAAAGGAGGCCAAGGAAGAGGGCTAAGAAGTAATATAGGATGGGCACTGATGGCCCATGCCTGTAATCCTAGCTACTCCAGAGGCTGAGATCTGAGGATCACGGTTTGAAGCCAGCAGGTAAGTCGATGAGACTCTCATCTCCAATAAACTACTCAGAAAAAGTGGGAAGTGGCACTGTGGCTCAGGTGGCAAAGCTCTGGCCTTAAGCAAAAACAAACTCAAGGACAGTGTCTAAGCCCAGAGTTCAAGTGTAGTGAATCTGCGTGTAAATATCATATGAAACGCCTTTCTTCAAATAATTTGGGCTAATCATAATTCAAAGAATTTGCAAAGAATTGCAAAGCTAGCCTGGGCAGGAAAGTCCATGAGACTCTTAGGGCTCATGTGGCAGAGCACACTAGCCTTGAGCACAAAAAGGCTCAGGGGCAGTACCTAGGCCCTTAGTTCAAGCCCCAGGACTAGCAAAAAAAAAAAAAAAAGGCTTGATGCAGTGTTTCCCATTTATAATTCTGGCTACTACAGAGGCAGAGATCAGGAAAATATAGTTCAAGGAAAGTTCAGACAAAAAGCTTGCAGACTCCATTTCAATCTGGGTATGGCATCCTAGACATATGGAAGCATAAATAAATAGGAATGAGGTCCAGACTGGTCTGGGAATAAAGGGGAGCCTCTATTTGAAAAATAATAAAAGCAGGGCTGGGAAGGTGGCTCAGTGGTAGAGTACCTGTCCAGCACGCATGAGGCCCTGGGTTCAATTCCTCAACACCACATAAGCAGAAAAAGCCAGAAGTGGAGCTGTGTGTAGAGCACTAGCCTTGAGCTAAAGAGCTGAGGGACAGAGCCCAGGCCCAGAGTTCAGGCCCCATGACCAACAAAACAACAACAACAACAGTAATAATAAAGGCAAAAAGGGCTGGTGAGTGTGGTTTAAGTTGCAGAAGGACCGCCTGGCAAACACAAGCCGTAAGGCCAAAGCCCTGTAATAACAAATAAAAAAGGCATCTCTCAAGAAAGATACGAAGTGAGAACTCAGGAAGGAGTCAAAGGTCTTCTGACAATGCTTCCTTGCTATGCTTCCAATATGCTGAACCTGCCACTGAGCAGGACCATCCTTCACACTCCTTTACCCTGGGGAGCTCCGCTCTGCACCACTGACTTCTCTCCCTTCAAGGACACAGCTCTGGGCTTGATGAGCTTCTGGCACCCTACACATTGAGAAAGACACAGCTCTGGGCTTGATGAGCTTCTGGCACCCTACACATTGAGAAAGACACACTCATGGAAAAGACTTGACAAGCCTTTGTATGATTCAGCTCTGTATTTCTAATGGAAGCAGTAGAATTATGTCATAAAGGCTGGAAAGGCAAACAGCCTCCTTCCATGATCCAAATGACCTTATGACCATGTTCATATTTCCACAGCTAACATTTTAATCAAATGGGAGATAAAATAAGCAAACCAAGGAAATCTGTATCAGGCAATAAAGTCCAACAGTCACTCATCAACACTGCAGTGTATGCAATGCAGGTGGAGCCATTGCTAAGACACAGTAGATAGGACCCCAGCTAGAGAATCAGAGACTTGGAATGTCAAAGAAGTGACTTAGCCAGTTGCTGGTAGCTCATGCCTGTAATCTTAACTACTCAGAAGGCTGAGATCTGAGGATCATGGCCCAAACACAGCTCCAAGAGATAACTCTGAGAAATAACACAAAAACAGAACTGGAGGAATGGCTCAAGTAGTAAAGAGCCAGCTGTGGGTAAAAAACTAAGCAATAGTGCAAGGCCCAGAGGTCAAACTCCAGTACTGGCAAAGAAAAACAAAAACAAAGAGATGTAGGACATATATGGCAACAAAACTAGATGATGCCACTGACCACATATGAAAAACTACCACAGTAGGCAGGTGTTGGAGCATAGGCCCAGAAAGCATTAGGCCCTGCCCATAAGGCAGCCCCATCAAAAACATAAAACAACAAAAACTCACCGCAGTGGATTAAAATGTATTAGGGACACCACCATCATGGTTAACCATCCTCAGTGCAACATTAGAGAATCCAGAACGCATTGAACACAACACATGAACCTGTTCCCTGTCAGGCTACAGGGAATGCCCATTGTCTTACCTACTGTGGCCAGGTTCCGGGGCTTCCTTGCCATCACATGACTGCGGTGGTTACGCTGAACTGTATCCTCCTGGGTGATGTTCACAGCCACATCCACAAAGTTCACAGAACCCTAAGCCATCACACACATGCTGGTTCAAACCACATAATCACTCCCCTGATTGGGGGGTGCGGGAGAAAGCAGGAGGGAGGTAATCCCCCAATGCCTAAACTTGTCAATTTCCTTACTGTCTAACCCAGGATTCCATTGGCCCAGGGGCTGACTCCTGTCTGTAGCTGCACTTTCTCCCTCCTCATTTTTCATCAAACATGAACCCAGCTCCCCATAGATAGGTACCTCTTTTTCACTTTATTTAACTCTTTCATTAAATACCTGGATATATTGTGTACATTTAATAAATGGCGATGGAAGTGGAGCTTGTGCCTCAAGAGGTAGAGTGCTAGACCTGAGCAAAAAAAAACAAACCTCAGGAACAGTGCCCAGACCCTGAGTTCAAGGCCCAGGACCAGCACAAAAATAAATAAATAAATGGTGAAAGCCTGGAGCCAGTAGCTCACATGTACTCAGGAGGTTGAGATTTGAGGATCATGATTCAAAGGCAGCCCAGGCAAGAAAGTCCATGAGACTCTTATCTTCAATTAACCACTAGAAAACTGGAAATGGCAGTATGTCTCAAAGTGGTAGAAAACTGGGCACTGGTGGCTCATGCCTGTAATCATAGCTACTCAGGAAGCTGAGATCTGAGGGTTGTGGTTCAAAGCCAGCCAGGGTAGCAAAGTCCATGAGACTTTTATCTCCAATTAAACATGAAGTGGTGATGTGGCTCAAGCACTTGCCTTGAACTCTGCGCCCAGGCCCTGAGTTCAAGCTCCGGGACCAACAAAAAAATATATATATTATCAAGTGGTAGAGTGCTGTCCCAGACCATTTTTTGCTCCGGCACAGCACCCAGGCCCTAAGTTCAAGCCCCACAACCAACAAAAAAATTAAAATAAAATAAAATAAATGGTGAATAATGGGTAAAATTGAGAAAAAAATATTTCAACTTTATTACCACTTGAGGTAATTGAGCAACAAGAAACATCCACTTGGGACCATGAGAATCAGACTAATTAGTAATTATAAAAATGCTGTAGTGATTGTCAAGATAGTCTTTCGCCAATGAAAGGTGGCACTCCCTGGTGGAATCCAAGGGAAGACTTGGTCCTTGCATAGGTTTCATTTCCTCCCATAGGCTTCAAAAGAAGTCTTCCTAGATGGAAAGGCATCTGTCTACACACCACATGCATGGACATCAGTTTATAGAAGGAAACAAGATCTTCATACCTGATTTTGTGAGCAGTCTGCCACTGTGCTGTTAGCCTCTGTCTCTTCTTCTTGACTACAGATTGGGTTCCCAGGAAGTAGAGCTTCTGGAAGAGAAAGACACACAACCCTCAGCTGATCAGAAGCCTGAATTCTCATACATGAACCTAATTCTATTCTAAATGAATATCTAATTAACTCATATACAATACTAAAGAAGTTCTGGGTTATACATGCAGCCAGAAAAAGTGATGAGGAGCTGTGCTGCCCAGCAAGAAAATACAAGTATCATTTTAAAGGTAAGGAAAACTAAGACTTAACTTGTTTTGTGTGTGATGGTCCTGGGGTTTGAACTAAGGGCCTGGGCTCTGTCTCTGAGTTTCTGTTCAAGGCTTGCATTTAGCCCTTGACCCAATGATCTACTCCTGGCTTTTTGGTGATTAGTTGGAGAGCTTATGATAAAAGAAAAGACAGTGATACAGGAGAAGAAAAAAGAAACAGACTTTCCTACCTGGGCTGGCTTTGAAACAAACCTCAGATCTCAGCCTACTAAGTAGCTAAGATTACAGGCATGAGCTACAGGAACCTGAGTAGAAACCTGACTATTAATTTGCTTGTGGTGACAGATTGCAGCAATGAGATTATGCAGTGTCTCCTCCCAAAGCCAGCACAACCCGAGGGCAGAGGAACACAATAGCTCTCTCTGGCTCACTTCAGCACCCCCACATGGGCCAGCAGTACAAGTGCTCCAGCCTAGATATCTGAGCTCTAAATCATGTAGAGGAGACCTCTAGAACTGGCAGTAACAGGACTCACCATGGGAGGAACTGGCATCATCCATCTTGTTAAGTCTTATAGGGAAACATGCATGACCGCACTCCTCTGTGATTCCAAAGACACGTCACAGGTCTAAGTGGATGGTTACAATGCCCCTTCCTTTTAAAGCAGGACTAGTTAGGATTCCTGTTGACATCAACATTAACACACAAGCATTACTCTGTAGTCAAGACACTAGGCACTGACACTGGGCTGGTAATGCATGTGAAAGCCACAACATAACAATACACTCACAGCCCAGGACGATGGACACCATCGCCAATGCACTGCAAGTTACACTAAGAGCTTTGATATATGTATTTATGTGTACATGGTTAGTTATATATAAATATTTTTAGTACTCCTTGGAACATTTAAGATCTATTTATCAAAATGAATTCCAAGAAATAGAAACATGGGTTTTTGTTGGTGGTAGTAGTGGTGATGATGTTGTTTGCTTTACTCTGGGGTATTTTTTTTTGGTGGTCTTAGGGGGAGTTAAAGGGGGACACAGAAATGGAAGGAGGAAGGGGAAACAAATGACATTATGGTACTCAGTAGAGACTACGTGGAAAATGAACTAAGCATTTGTGGGGAGGAACAGGAAGGGGAAACTAGGGGAAAGCCAAGGAAGGGGTGACATTGTCCAAAAAGAATTGTACTCCTTGCCGGGCACCAGTGGCTCACACTTGTAATCCCAGCTACTCAGGAGGCTGAGATTTGAGGATCGTGGTTCAAAGGCAGCCGAGGCAAAAAGTCTGTGAGATTTTTATCTCCAATTAACCACCAAAAAACCACAAGTGGTGTTGTGGCTCAAGTGGTAGAGTGCTCGCCTTGAGCTGAAGAGCTAAGAAACAGCGCCCAAGCCCAGAGTTCAAACCCCATGATCGACAAAAAAAAAAAAAGAATTGTACTCCTTGCCAGACTTATGAAATGGTGACCCCTCTTCTGCACAACACCTTAATAACAACAATAAAGCTATTATTTTATTATACTCTTTACTTAATTACTCTATCATCCTTTCTCAAGACATATCATCATGCAGCAATGAGAAACCTAGAATCAGAAAACATGAGTAACTCTTCCAATGTCACTGTGATCCTCTGGATCTCAGCCTCCTGAATCCCTAAAACTGTTCCAATTTTGTCCACTTTGGTTCTCAAATTTCATCTTCTATGGCTGCCATTACACTCCAAAATAACCAAGTAACAGACTCAGGAAATGGTTACCTGAGTTACTTAAAACTGTTCACATTGTACTTTGACAGTAGGGCATTTCAACCAAAATGTCAAGGTTTTACAAGTGGTAGAATGCCTATCAACCACTGTTGGGCATCACCAGAATACTAGTGCAGAAGGGCCAAGCACTCTGAGTTCTGCACAGTGCCCACAGTGGAAAGAAAACATCTGCACCAAAACAGTTTGCCAAACAACAATTACTTGCTGGTCTTCCAAATGAAACACTTTATACTATTACTAATGAGCTCTTTTTCCAGTGATCTCTGCTTATATTTTGTTTTTGTTTTTACTTCTTCCTTTAAGATTTGGACTGCAAAAAAAATTTAAAAGTGAAATAAAGAACATATAGTCACAGGGGATAAATGAAAATAGAATAAAGAAACTTTTTGATATTTATAGGAAAGTGATACAACAACAAATTCCTAATTTATATAGGACTTTGACAGGAACTAGAAATCTTTTGCTCTTTTTTGCCAATGCTAGGGCTTAAACTCTCTGAAGCCTTACAGCTTGCTTGACTTGCTTGTTAATGGCTCACTACTTGAGCTATACCTCCAATCCAGCCTTCTGCTGGTGATCTTGGAGGTAAGAGTCTTCAGGACTTTTCTGCCCAGGCTGGCTTTGAACTATGATCCTCTAGATCTCAGCCTCCTGAATCTCTAAGAATTATATGTGTGCGCCATCAGTGCCTAGCTAGAAACATTTTAAATGTGGAAGGCTGTAGGCCTGCTCTATAGCACCACCACAAAAAAATGGTAAGGCAAGACAGAGCAAAGAAAATCAAAGTCACAGTGAGCACCCTAAAGGTAAATGAGAAAAAGAAGCAAGTCACATGTGAGAGATTTCCAAAACAAAAGACTATGAGCAGACTTGTCACCCAAACTTTCAGGCCAAGACAGTGAGAGAATGCATAAATGGCTTTAGGAAAATACTGTCAAGTCATCATGCCAAATTTAGCAAAGCCATCCTTGAAAAATGAAAGAGTGAGGATGTAGCTCATAGCAGAGTACTTGCCTGACATGCATGACACCCTAGGATTTATCTAAAGCAGAATGGGGAAAAGGGGGTAAAAAACACATTTTTTGTAATGGAAACATACACAGTTTAATTCAGGACATTTTAATACTGTAATCCTTAGCAAGAAAGATGAAAGTCAAAATTAAATGCTAATAAGCTATAATAATATATTAAGGGATATAAAGACATAATTACAAAATCAAATTCATAAAAATGCAAGGAAGTTGAGATAGGGGAATAGCTGGAGTGGTAGAGCACCTGACTACCAAATACAAGTCTACACCCAAGTACCACCAAAAAAAAAAGGTTTAACATCAGTGTATTTATAAACACAAAGCAACATCCTACCAAAGATGCATACATAAAAGACAAACTCTTCCCTTGCATGCATGAGGCCCTGGGTTCAATTCCTCAGCACCACATAAGCAGAAAAAGTTAGAAGTGGTGCTGTGGCTCAAATGGTAGAGCACTAGCCTTGAGCTAAAGAGCTGAGGAACAGCACCCAGGCCCAGAATTCAGGCCCCATAACTGACAAAAAAGAAATCAAAGCACATCCCTAATACCAAAAGGGCCAGGCATGATGGCTCACAATCCCAGCTGAGTAGAAGGATGCAGATTCAACAGCAATACCTATTTCAATAAGAAAGACATAACTGGTGGCAAAAACCTGTAATTCCAGTTACAAAGAGGCATAGGTAAGAGGATCACAGTCTGAGACCAGTTGAGAACCAAAATTTAAGACTTTACCCAGGGGCTGGGAAGGTAGCTCAGTGGTAGAGCACTTGCCTTGCATGACTGAGGCCCTGGGTTCGATTCCTCAGCACCACATAAGCAAAAAGAAAAAAGCCAGAAGTGGCGCTGTGGCTCAAGTGGTAGAGCGCTAGCCTTGAGCTGAAAAGCTGAGGGACAGTGCCCAGACCCAGAGTTCAGGCTCCACAACTGACAAAAAAAAAAAAAAAAAGACTTTACCCAAAAATTAATGAAAGCAAAAAGGAGCTCAGTGGTAGAAAACACACACACACACACCACACACAACACACACACACATAGTCATGAACAACGGAATCAGTATCATGTCATACTTATACACACACACACACACACACAGACACACACACACACACACACACACACACAGAGTCATGAACAACGGAATCAGTATCATGTCATACCTATGGTCCTGGAGGAAGATGGGTATGGTGAGGCTGTTGGCTCAAAGACTGTGTGGTAAGAACAGTGTCCCTATGGCAGCCCAAAGAAGAGGAACTATGTCCCTTTCGTGGTAGAGTCACAACATCCAAGGGGCTGTCAAAACAGGCAATAAACAGAGTAAATCAGGCAATGTATAGGAGCAAAATACCATCTGTTGACTACCCAGATGCAGAATTGTAGTGACAATGAATTCTGGACTTGGGGACCTCATGAATAGAATTACAACATTAAGGTTGCAGAAATACACTATGAGCACCATTAACTTATGTATTTATTTTCAGATTTAACAACTTATAATGACAGATGAACAGATAAATAAACAGTGGGGATATTATTAGTTTGGGTTTTTTTCTTTTCTTTTCATTGTACTAGTCCTGGGGCTTGAATTTAGGGACTGGGCACTGTCCCTGAACTTTTGTGCTCAAGGCTAGTGCTCTCTATCACTTAAGCCACAGCTCCACTTCCAGTTTTTAGGTGGTTAATTGGAAATAAGAGTCTAACAAACTTTCTGTCTAGGCTGGCTTCAAGCTGTGATCCTCAGATCTCAGCCTCCTCAGTAGTTAAAGACTACAGGAGTGAGCCACTGAGCCTGGTTTTTGCTTTGTCAGTCATAGAGTTTGAACTCAGAGCCTGGTGCTGTCCCTAAACTTTTTTTTCTTTTTCTTTTTCTTTTTTCCCATTGGTCGTGGGGCTTGGACTCTGGGCCTGGGCACTGTCCCTCAACTCTTCAGCTCAAGGCTAGTGCTCTACCAGTTGAGCCACAGCACCACTTCCAGTTTTCTAAGTGGTTTAATGGAGATAAGAGTCTCACAGCCTTTCCTGCCAGGGCTAGATTTGAACCACGATCCTCAGATCTCAGCCTCCTGAGTAGCTATGATTACAGGCATGAGCCACCACGCCAGGCCTATCCCTGAACTCAAGACTAGCATTCTACCACTTTGAGCCACAGCTCCACTATTGGTTTTTGAGTGGCTCATTGGAGAGACGTTTCATGCACACTTTTCTGCCTGGGCTGGCTTCAAACTGAGATCCTCACATCTCAGTCTCCTGACTGACTACAGACATGAGCCACCAGCGACCAGCTTGTTTTTAACACTTAATACTTTAAGATCCTGTTTTAATTTACAATGGACCATATTAACTGCTTTAATCAAGCCTCCAGGAGATCGAAAAGTCAAATACAATTCACAAGAATTTACCTTAAATTTTTTTACTACATCTGAGCACATATGAGAACTATTTGGGGGCAGTGATCATTGTTACTATAAGAAACAACAGATGTTGGGCACTGGTGGCTCACGCCTATAATCCTAACTACTGAGGAGGCTGAGACCTGAGGATTTCAGATCAATGGCAACCACAGAAAGTCCATGAGATTCTTAACTCCAATTAACCACCAAAAAGCCCAAAGTGGAATGTGGCTCAAGCAGTATAGGACCAGTTTCCCCCATGTTATATTAGCTACATTTTTAGAACTAAAGGGGAAACAATGTTCAATGTGGTACTCCAGGTGTTAACTATATTCTCAATCCCAATACCAAAGATCACCTTTTGTTCTTGGGGCCTTTTTTTTTTTTAAAGCCGGTCATAGAGCTTGAACTCAAGGCTTGGGACAGTCCTTGAGCACCTTTGCTCAAGACTAGCACTCTACCACTTTGAGACACAGCTCCACTTCTGGTTTTTAGGTGGTTAATTGGAAATAGTCTAACAAACTTTCTGTCTAGGCTGGCTTCAAGCTGTGATCCTCAGATCTCAGTCTCCTCAGTAGTTAGGATTATAGGCGATAAGAGTCTTATAGGGACTTCCCTGCCAAGCTTGGCTTTGAACCATGACCCTCAGATCACAGCCTCCCAAGTGGCCAGGATTACAGGCATGAGCCACTGGCACCCAACTCTTGGTGCCTTTATAAAATGCTCAAAGGGACTAGATGCCCATTTTACACAGTGCCCTTTTATCTTCTGTCATATATCAACTTCCTACATAAATCTGGATTTCCAATGAGCTCAAAGTATACAACGTCTTTATTTTTCCTACATATAAATTGCCAGATATTAAGTTCACATTATCTACATTAAAATATGGATAACCTACTTAATGTACTTCTACTTCCTCCACTGGGATCTAGAGGGTTGATATTAAATTACTAACTGATCTAGGGCTACCATTATCTTTGCTCCACCTGGCATCTGCCAAGCAAGCAGCTTACAGTTCCTTCCTCATCACCCTTGGGCTCTAAGCCACCTAGGGTGGACAGTCTTCCTCTTCTCCCTCCCCTGCCTTTTCTTTACTTTCCACAGGATCTGGCTAGATAGGCAAGGCTGTGCACCGCTACACCAGCTTTTCTGTTGGATTGGTTTTTTGCCACCTTTCTATCTAGGTGCTTTGCTTCTGTCTGAGGTAAGAGGGAAAAGGGGGAGTGACAGGTGCCTTGTCACCCTCTCCCTTGGAGGGCTCCTCCCACAGGATGGTTTATTCCTTCCTTCTGTTCTTATTCTTTCATACCCAAGACCTTTTACAACAGACTAACAGCTGAGGTTCCCTCTATGTGGCTGATTTCTTATATCTTGATGCTTAGCTCTTAGTTCTCCCTAAGCAGCTAAACCAGCTGCCCTCCCTGAAGGGCTTTTAGTAATCTCACAAGACCAGACTTCACACCTAGGAAAGCAACAGGGACCTCACTTTGTCTCTTTAAACCCTGATCCTCCGCCTACCCCCTCACCCCATTCCATTTTCCTTTCCCTTTTCTTTTCTTTCTTTTAATTTAATGGGTGGCACCAGCCAGTCAATCCTGGATAGGATCTGTCATCATCCTGGAGCTACAAAGCTGGGGAGACAATGAGCAATGACAGGATATAGCCGCGAAGCATGCACTGCTGGAGGCTGACCATCTTGGCTGGAACATATGCCTGCTCTACACATGGCTGAGCTCTGCAGGCGCTGCCATCTGTGCCTCACAAAAGCCTCGCCCACAGCCACAGCATCACACAGCTGATTCTCACTAAGGAGCCCTTGGCACTAAGGGGAAGGGCGCTGGTGGAGCACTGTCCAATCACAACCTTCCTCCTGGCAGAAGCAGCTCAGCTAATAAAAGCAGGACAGCTCAGGCACAGGGCCAGGTGGAGATGATCCTGAGAGAACAGGATTCTGTAGTACAACCAGATCTATGCTTTGAATAGGACAACCTCCCATAGTTCTGGCCAGCTCAGCCCAATTTTTTTTTTTTTTTTTGTCGGTCATAGGGCTTGAACTCTTGGCCTGGGCACTGTCCCTCAGCTCTTCAGCTCAAGGCTAGCACTCTACCACTTGAGCCACAGCTCCACTTCTGGTTTTCTGAGTGTTTTAATGGAGATAAGAGTCTTACTACTGCCGGGCGTGGTGGCTTGCACCTGTAATGCTAGCTACTCAGAAGGCTGAGATCTGAAGATCACCGTTCAAAGCGTGCAGGAAAGTCCATGAAACTCTTATCTTCAACAAACCACCAGAAAACCGGAAGTGGTGCTGTAGCTTAAGTGGTAGAGCGCTAGCCTTGAGCTGAAGAGCTGAGGGACAGTGCCCAGGCCCAGAGTTCAAGCCCCCATGACTGACCAAAAAATAAAAAGACTCTCACTGCTTTCTAGCCCGTGCTGACTTTGAACCCGATCCTCAGATCTCAGCCTCCTGAGTAGCTAGGATTATAGGCATGAGCCACCAGTGCCTGCTTCAGCCCAATTTCTTTTTTTTTTTTTGGGGGGGGGGGTCCGGTTGTGGGGCCTGAACTCTGGGCCTGGGCACTGTCCCTCAGCTCTTCAGCTCAAGGCTAGCGCCCTAACACTTGAGCCACAGCACCACTTCCAGCTTTTTTCTTTTTGCTTATGTGGTGCTAAGGAATCGAACCCAGGGCCTCGAGCATGCAAGGCAAGTGCTCTACCACTGAGCCACCTTCCCAGCCCCTCAGCCCAATTTCTTTAGGTCTGAGAATGACAGGTGAAGGTGAAACTGGCTAGACCGACAAGAATGTTGTTTCTACTTCCAGCCACTCAGAGCACTGCAGGTTCACAGATCTTAGACTCTAATGGGGAAAGACTCCTCTGCCCAACCCTACCCCACACCACCCAATTAGTAGTTTCAACACATTAGAGGATGAGATTGCCACTTGGCCATGAGTTTCATGCAGCAATAAACCAAGAAGGAAAAAGGGGGAGAAGGGGAAATCTACTAGCTGTAATTCTCTATCGCATTGAAGGGAAACCACAGTACTATACAACCTTCTAGACCTTCTATGGTGCATAGTCCAGGCTAGGGGAAACATATAACTAAAGACAGACAGGATAACAGTGTTAGACCCTTAACAGGAATGAAGGTCACTCAACTAGGTACAGGCATGGAGCAGCTCAGGTTCTAACTAAGGACAAGAGAAATATGGAAATGATCACTGAAGTAATGAATCATGGAGGAGCACTGTTGACTCATACCTTTAATACAAGCTACTCAGAAAGATGAGATCTGAAGATCAAGGTTAGAATACATTACCAAAAGAAAAGTCTATAAGATTCTTATCTCCCAACTAACCAGCAAAAGGCCAGAAGCAGAGCTGCGGCTCAAGTGGTAGAGCACTAGCCTTGAACCTAAAAGCTAAGGCACAGCATCCAGGCCCTGAGTTCAAGACCCAAAGTCCCAGGACTGGCATACATACACAAAAACAGAAAAGTGAAACAATCTGGTTTTTTTGTTTTGTCGGTCATGGGGCTTGAACTCTGGGACTGGGCGCTGTCCTCAGCTCTTCAGCTCAAGGTGAGTGCTCTACCACTTGAGCCACAGCTCCACTTCCAGTTTTCTGGTGTTTTATTGGAAATAAGAGTCTCACGGACTTTCCTGCCCGGGCTGGCTTTGAACCGCAATCCTCAGATCTCAGCCTCCTGAGTAATAGGATTACAGGCGTGAGCCGGCAGAGTGAAACAATCTGATGGGGATGTCAACACCAGTGGGAGGGAAGGTCTAAGAGAGAGGGTGAATGAGGATAAACAAAGTAGCTTATTTACATGCATGGAAATAGAACAATGAGACCTGTTGTAATTGTTTTAAGAAGATGGAGTAAGGGAGAGTAAGGGGGTAAATTTGATCAGGATACATTGTATCACAATAAAACCCTTCATGTACAATTAATACATGCTAATAAAGAAAAAAAAACATGGATATTGCCAAGTCATCTGGCTCCTTAGGAGCTAACTGTTCCAAGATGCCAGTTTTCTTCTCATTTCCTTATGGAATGATTATTTGAGGGCCAGTCCTAGGACTGGAACTCAGGGCCTGGGTACTTTCCCTGAGCTTGTTTTTGCTCAAGGCTATGCTCTACCACATGGGTCATAGTTCTACTTCCAGCTTTTTGGTGGATAGCTAGAGAGGAAAGCCTTATGGACTTTGCTGCCGAGGATGGCTCTGAACCTCCATCCTTGGATCTCAACCTCCTGGGTAGCTAGGATTACAAGTAAGAGCCACAGGCACCAGCCCTATCGAGTTGATTTGAACTCCCTAGATGTGTGACCCTATTTTTCAGTGCTCAACTACTGTTTTGAATTCCTCAAATTAATCTCCTACATGAACTGAAGACACTCATACTATTTCATTTTGATTGGTCTTAATTCAATATATATGCATGAGTTTTCCTGTTAAATTATATACTGAGTAATACATTCATTCCACCTGTTTCCTGAAATGTAGAAAATAACTCTTGGCATAACCTGAGAGCATGCCTGGACACATTCATCCCCTTGTCTACCTAGAAATATAATCAGTCACGCCAGGCGCCAGTGGCTCACACCTGTAATCCTAGCTACTCAGGAGGCTAAGATCTGAGGATCCCAGTTCAAAGCCAGCCCAGACAGGAAAGGCTGTGAGACTCTTATCTCCAATAAACCACCAGAAAACCAGAAGTAACACTGTGGTTCAAGTTGTAGACCATTAGCTTTGAGCTGAAGAGCTGAGGGACAGTGCCAGGGCCCAGAGTTCAAGCCCCACCACTGACAAAAAAAAAAAGACAAAGAAAGCAGCAAACAAAGGAACAAAGAAATACAATGAGTTCAGAATAGTTTATATAATAACTATAATAAATAAATAAATCAGAAATATAATCCTTTTCTCCTTCTGCTTCCCTTGCAACATGGCTAATTCCTACCACTTCTATTTGAGGCCCTGTCTTAATCATTACTCTCTCCTTAGCTTTACCTATGTCCACATGAAGAGCACAAAACCATCCTCTACTCTAAGAAACTCCTCCATTTGTAATAATGCATTTATTTGCCTGGATAGATGCCAACCTCCTCCACACATTTATAAACTTCCTAAGAACAATTCTAGATTGAATTTATTCTTCATGCCATCACCATTTTGGCAATCATAAAGTAAGTATAAGAAATGAAGGGAACATTTAAGCACACCAAAATACAAGAAATATTTTTTTTAAAAGATGATTTTCTGAAAAAAAAAATTCATGACCGATATAGTGGCTCATGCCTGTAACTACTTGGTAGGCTGAGATAGAGAGGACTACAGCTCAAGGCTACCCAACAAAAAGTTCCTGAGACCTCCTTTTTGGTGTCACACACCTGTATCCTAACTGTGAGGAACACAAACAGGTGAACCATGGTCCAGGAAACAAGAGTCTATCTTAAAATTAATCAGTACAAGCCGGGCACCGATGGCTCATGCCTGTAATCCTAGCTACTCAGAAGGCTGAGATCTGAGGATTGAGGTTCAAAGCCAGCCAGGACAGGAAAGTCCTTGAGATGTTTATCTCCAGTTAACCACCAGAAAATGGGGAGTGGCTCTGTGGCTCAAGTGGTAGAGTGCTCACCTTGAGCTAAAGTCCTCAGGGACAACGCCAAGGCCCAGAGTTCAAGTCCCATGACAGACAAAAATAATAATAATCAGTACAAAAGGGCTGGAAGCCGGGCACCGGTGGCTCACACCTGTAATCCTAGTTACTCAGGAGACTGAGATCTGAGGATCATGGTTCAAAGCCAGCCCAGGCAGGAAAGACCATGAGACTCCTATCTCCAATAAACCACCAGAAAACCAGAAGTGACACTGCAGCTCAAGTGGAAGAGCACTCTCCTTGAGCTGAAAGCTGAAGGACAGCGCCCAGGCCCAGAGTTCAAGCCCCATGACCAACCAAAAAAAAAAAAGGACTGGAGTTATGGCTCAGCAGAATGAGCACCTAGCAAGTATGAGGTAGTTTAAACCCTACCCCACCCCCCCAAAAAAAACTCTTGACATAGCATTTGTTGTGCTCAAGGCCAAATTAAAACCACAGCCCTCTCAAAAAAAAAAAAAAGACAATGAATAAAGCCATCAGATCAAAAGCTTCTAACAAAGAATTCCAAAGAGATATTCTAGAGGAAAGAAAACATTCGCTGCTGCAAAAATCAGTTGAAAGATGTATTTTATTTATTCATGTATAACAATATTGGGACTTAAACTCAGGCTGGGAGTTGTCCCTTAAGCTTTTTTGCTCAAGGCCAGTGCATGACCACTTGAGACACAGCTCCACTTCCAGCTTTTTGGCAGCTAATTGGAAATAAGATTCATAGACTATCCAGCTCAGACTGACTTCAAAGGAAATCCTCAGATCTCAGCATCTAGGATCACTAGTGTGAGCCACCTGCACCCAGCTCACAAATACCATTTTCTATTACAGTACCTATCAAATAGTTTATCACCAAATGAGAGTGTATGTAGCTCTGTACTTGAGCTCTATACATGAAGCCTGGGATTCACTCCCTAGCATAGGGAATGAATAGAACTGGAGATCATCATGCTAAGCAAAGGAAGCCAGGCTCACAAACACAAAAATCATTGTTTTCCCTCATTATGTGGAATCTATTTAAAAGAAAAAACAACTGAATGATGACTGGGCAGAGGGGAGAAGACACAAAAGAGCACTGAGAGTGAAATGGCTGAAGCGTATTATAAGCATGGATAATGAAACCCACTATCTCATACAACGATACACTGGTGATACATTGGTATTTTAGGTTTTTGGCCAGGCAATAAACTTCACACCTAACTACTCAGGAGGCTGAGGTCTGAGGATCTCAGTTGGAAGCCAGCCTGAGCAGATAAAAATCTGAGATTAGTCAGGCGCCAGTGGCTCACACCTGTAATCCTAGCTACTCAGGAGGCTGAGATCTGAGGATTGTGGTTCAAAGCCAGCCTGGGCAAGAAAGTCCGTGAAACACTTATCTCCAATAAGCCACCAGAAAACCGGAAGTGGTGCTGTAGCTCAAGTGATAGAGAGCTCGCCTTGAGCTGAAGAGCTGAGGGATAGCGCTCAGCCCAGAGTTCAAGCCCCACGACTGACCAAAAAAAAATCTGTGAGACTCTTCATCTCCGTTCAATGAACCAGCAAAAAGCCAGAAGTGGAACTGTGGCTCCAGTAGCAGAGCACCAGCCTTGAGGGAAAAATGCTAAGGAACAGGGCTCAGGCCTTGAGTTCAAGCCCCAGTTCTAAAACCAAATAAAGTTGTTTAAGCATTTTTCTGGAAGACAGTATATGATCAAAGATAGCACTTCAATGAAACTAGGCCGTCATCCTTGAGTTCCGAGTCTGGTTTTGAAGCTCTATGGGGAAGTACATTTTTTTGTTGTGTTATTTTGGGCTGGTCCTGGGACTTGAACTCAGGGTCTGGGTGCTGTCCCTGAGCTGTTTTGCTCAAAATTAACACTCTAACACCTGAGCCAAAGCTCCACTTTCAGCTTTTTGGTAGTTAACAGTACTTAAAAGAGTTTCTTTTGCAGGCTGGCATCTAATCACGATCCTGAAATCTTCAGCCTCCTGAGTAACCAAGATTAGCGGTGCAAGCCACCAGCACCAGGCTTCTTGTTTTTTTTTTTGCCAGTCATGGGGCCTGAACTCTGGGCCTGGGCGCTGTCCCCCAGCTCTTCAGCTCAAGGCGAGCACTTTACCACTTGAGCCACAGCACCACTTCTGGCTTTTTCTGCTAATGTGGTGCTGAGGAATCGAACCCAGGGTCTCATGCATGCAAGGCAAGCGCTCTACCACTGAGCCACCTTCCCAGCCCAGCACCAGGCTTCTTTTCTAAAGAGTATGTCTATCAATTTTATAATAACAACGAAAAATTTTTAAAATTTAAATTTAAAAAAGTATATCCACCCTAGAAAACTATTTAAAAAATAATCTTTCTACCACACGTAAACGTAAACATATGGCAATGCAAAAACAAAGTCAAATTCAAAGATAATACATTCATTACTAAATAGCAAGACGCCAAACACCAGATAAATCTTCTGGAACTAAGTCCTTCCCCTTCCTCATGCCCTGCTCACCCGGCGGGGACTGAAGGTAACTGACAGGCGCCAGGATCGCGGGGTCTGTGGAGGGTCGTCAGAGCCCCACTCTTGCGGCAGAAGTTCTTTGTCTATTGGGGAGAGGAAAAAAGAAAGAAAAAATAACTATAGACAGGCTTTTGATGCAGCAACCCATTTGCAGGAAATGACCCCGAGGACACGCCCTGAAGAAGTACAACCACAGGGCACCGCTGGGCAGCACCTTCCAAGAGCAATGATCCTAACCCGGGGCCGGTGGCTCCCGCCTTGAAATCCCAGCCACTCAGGAGGCTGACGTATGAAGATCGAGGTTCGAAGCCAGCCGGGGCCAGAAAGTCCGTGAGACTCTTTATCTCCAATGAGCCACCAAAACGACGGAAGTGGAGCTATGGCTCAAGCTGCTTAGAGCGCTAGCCTTGAGTGGAAATTAAGGCTCAGAGAAAGCGCCCAGGCCCTGAGTTCAAGCCCCAGGACCGGCACCCAAAAGAGAGAGACAGAGACAGAAAGCCGTGGCCCGAATGGCGCGTCCAGGCCCCGGAAGCAGGGAACGGGCCAGGCCGCTCTCCAGAGTCTCCTCGGCGGCTTGGGAAAACTTCTCCACCCACTACCCAAATCCACCTCCGCGCCGTCCCCGCGCCCAAACTCACCAAAGTCGTTCCGGCCAAACCTTCCCCTACCCCGGAGGGGGGGGAGAAAAAGAAGGAACTCGGCCGCGCGAAGCCCAACCGGAAGAGACGGGGAGTCGCCGCCTGCGGCGTCACTTCCGTCCCCCGAGCTCCAGACCGGAAGTGCTCCCGTTGGGGGCGGGACCTCAGCGGCGTCGGATGCTGTCAAGCCAATTTCTAGCTTTCTCCCGAATGGAGGCCCATTGGTGGCCCGCAGGGTGGGAGGAAGAAGTCATTCCCAAGGACCAACCAGGTTCGGATTACTACCACGCTTCGGAGCGACGGCGGAGTCGGAGGTGGGACCAGACCCAGCGCGTGTCTCTTTGTTTTGGTGGTGGTTGGGGTTTTTTAATGCTGATCTCTGGGGCTTGAACTCAGGGCCTAGGCTTCTCCCCGTCTCTCTCTCTCTCTCTCTCTCTCTCTCTCTCTTTCTCTCTCTCTCTCTCTCTCTCTCTCCCTCCTTAAGGCTGGTGCTCTGCCACCAGTTACAGCTCCACTTCTGGCTTTTTGGTGCTTCCATGAAGGTAAGAGTCTCACAGACTTTCCTGCCCTGGCTGGCTTTGCACTTCGATCCTCAGATCTCAGCCTCCTGTGTAACTAGGATAAACAGGCGAAACCCACCAGCCCCTGGCTGTAATATATTACTTTTCAAAATATTTAGATCTTACATCCTTGTGTGAATGATTTTGGTTTGTTGTGTGAGCAGTGGATCCAATTTCTTTTAATCCCTCCAGAAAGATAAGCAATCAATGAAACCTTTGACTTACTAATTTAAAATGTCATGAGTAGGCAGTACATTCCTACATATACAGTTACTCTCCCCTATGTTATCCTAAATAATCAAACCAAATTCTGTTCCAACCCTAATATTGTTTACCTTAGAAGATTCTTTATCTTTCTGGACTGTAAACTAAAAGTTTCTCCACTGCTGGCCTCGCTGGGACCGATTGGATCTGCCTGCCTGATTGCCAAACAGATGGTTGCCATGGCAACCGGAAAGAACCATAAAAGTAGTAACAAAGACTCTTTGTCACCTAGAATTTTGGTAGACAGTACATTTAATCTGTGGAGCAACTTGAGGGTTATTGCCATCTTAATAATATTAAGTAATCCAATCCATGAACATGGACTTCCTTTCCATACCTGATGTTTTATTTTTCTTGTTTTTAATTTTTATCTTGGCTGTACAAGCATGTGAATTCAGGTCCTCATGCTTGATAGTCAAGTGCTCTACCACCTGAGCCATATCCTAGCCCAACAGTTGTCTTGATTTCATTGGCATTTTGTGATTGTCAACATGTAAATCCTGCACATATCTTTTAATAAATTTATCCCTAGTAGTTTTATGTTTATTATCTGTAGAATCATTCTTTTGTTTTGGGGACAGAGTTGGACAGGGTTACATTATGTACCCCAGGGTACTCTAGGAATCACTGTGTAACCCAGTGTCTGGCAAGATTTGTTTTAGTGCCAACCCTGAGGCTTGAATTCAGGGCCTAGGGGCTATCCCTGAGCTTCTTTTGCTCAGGACTGGCACTCTACAACTTGAGCCACAGTTCTACTTCCAGCTTTTTTTGTGGTTAATTGGAGACAAGAGCCTCACTGATTTTCCTGCCTAGGCTGGCTTCATACTTGGGTTCTCAGATCTCAGCCTCTTGAGTAGCTAGGATTACAGGCATGAGCCTCTGGCACCTGGTATGAATGTACTTTTTTTTTTACCTTTTTTTGTTTATATGGTACCAAGGAATTGAACCCAGGACCTCATGCTTGTTAGGCAAGCACTCTACCACTAAGCCACATTCCCAGCACCTTGAATGTACAGTTTTAACTGGGCAATTTGCTAGTTCAGTTCAGCTTGCAAGATACAATCAACAAGCCAGGTCCCAGTGGCTCATGTCTGTCATCTAGACTGTACTGCCTGAAAGGACTCATCTTTCACATGAGTTCTCAAGGTCAATGTTACATCTCACTGCCATTAAAAGACTTCTTGGATGCTAGGGTCAAGAAAAGAAGGGGGGAAACAATCACTTCAACATTGATGGCTCTCTGTTCCATTGAACATATGATAATAACCAAAGAAACACACACACATACATTACATGCTACAAAGCCTCTGTAATTAAAACTATGTGGTACCAACACGTGGCCAAGAAACAGAGGAGTGAAATTTCTAGAAATCTACCCAAGAACACATACCTATAATCTCAGCACTGGAGAGGGTGAGGCTGGAGGATCATGAGCTCCAGGCCAGACTGGGCTAACAGACTCTCTCTGAGAGACAGAAAGAGAGAGGAGGGGGGAGAGAGAGAGGGGAGAAAGAAAAAGGAAGGAAGGAAGGAAGATGCCGGTGCCAATGGCTAATACCTGTAAGCCTAGCTACTGAGATCTAAGATTGCCGTTCAAAGCCAGCATGGGACAGAAAAGTCTGTGAGACTCTTAATCTCCAATTAACCACCAGAAAGCTGAAAGTGGAGCTGTAGCTCAAGGAGTAGAGCACTAGCCTTGAGCACAAATGCTTTTGGACAGCACCCAGGCCCTGAATTCAAGCCCCAGGACTGTGTGTGCATGCGCGCGTGCACACACACACACACACAATCTACACCTGATGACACATACAATAAACTCCAAATGCATCAGAGATCTAGATGTGGGGGAAAAAAAATCTGTGTAGGGAAGTCAAGCGATTTCTTGTCTAGTTAATAAAGATATGCCCAGTAGATGGCAGTAGCACACAAGCTTTATTTGGACAGATCTTTGACCCAAGCTGCGGTTAGATCCTGATGGGATCTACCGTCCACAGGCTTTGACTTGGAAGTCAGGACTCAAAAAGGGACTAGGGGATAGAACTCAGCAAAGAAAGGGAGCTTTTGTAATTACGCTCAACAATTTCATAGGGAGCTTCTGGGTCAGAAAGACTGCAAAGGCATCAGACACATGGGGGTTTATAACTGCAGAAATTATTTTATTAAAGGCTAGTGGTATTGGGCTATATAAAGGGATCTACAAAGCAAGTGCTCTATGCATGGCACTGGTGGTTCATGCCTGTAATCCCACTCAGGAGGTTCAGACAAGGATCACGGTTCAAAGCAAGCCTGGGCAGGAAAAGCCCATGAGACTCTTATCTCCAATTAATGACCACAAAACTGGAAGTGGCGCTGTGGCTCAAAGTGGTAGAGTGCTAGCCTTGAGCAAAGGAGCTCATAGACAGCACCCCAGCCCTAAGTTCAAGCCCATAATCGATAAAAAAAATAGTTTGTTTGAGCCATTTCAAATGATAAGGTATTATAAATAATGGTGCTGTGAACATTGCTGTGTCTTTTTTGTGTTTTGCTCTCAGTAGTTTGGAATTACTAGATCATGTATTTGTTGTTTTATTTATTTATAACAGACCTTGGGTTTGAACTCAGGGCTTGGACACTGTTCCTTAACTTTTTTGCTCAAAGCTGGCACTCTACCACTTGAGCCACACATCCACTTCTGGATTTTTTTTTTGGGGGGGGGAGTCTGGTCATGGGGCCTGAACTCTGGGCCTAGTGCTGTCCCTCAGCTCTTCAGCTCAAGACTAGCGCTCTACCACTTGGGCCACAGTGCCACTTCTGGCTTTTTTTCTTTTTGCTTATGTGGTGCTGAGGAATCAAACCCAGAGCCTCATGCGTGCAAGGCAAGCACTCTAACACTGAGCCACCTTCCCAGCCCCAAAAAGGCTTTTTGTTTTTTGTTTTTTTTTTTTGTCGTGGGGCTTGAACTTTGGGCCTGAGCACTGTCTCTCAGCTCTTCAGCTCAAGACAAGCGCTCTACCACTTGAGCTATAGCGCCACTTCCAGCACTTCTGGATTTTTAGTGGCTAACTGAAGATAAAAAGTCTCATTGACTTTCCTGCCCAGGCTGGTTTTGAACCTTGATCCTCAGATCTCAGCCTCCTGAGTAACTAGGATTACAGGTTAAACCACCGGCACCTGACTGAGACTCTTATCTCTAATTAACCTTCAAAAAGCAGGAAGTGGCACTGTGGCTCAAGTGGTAGAGCACAAGCCTTGAGAAAAAAAAAAAAAACCACAGCACAGGGCCCAGACTCTGAGTTCAAATCCCAGGACTGGCATAAAAAAAAAAAAAAGTACATGTTATCATTTGGCTTTTGTTTCCAACAAAGGGACCTAAAACTCAATCGCTGATTGAGCTATAGCAGTAATTCCCAGAAGCCAACTTGAGTCTGCACTTACAGAGCTCAGTTCTCATTCCTGCTGGTCAAAGCAAATCACAAGACCAGCTCACATAAAAGGGGAGAGGAAACAGACTACCCCACCTTCTTGTTTTTAGAGACTAGGACTCACTCCGTAGCCTGGGCTGAACTGGAATTCTCAATCCTCCTCCTGCCTCAGCATCTCAAAGTGCTGAGATTACAAGCATGCAGTACCACACTCCTCCTTCAGATGCAAGTTACCACAAGAATTGGTGTCTGTAATCTCTCTCAAGATATGCTGGTCTGTCAAGGGGTGTATTCTGTTTTTCCAATTTGATCTGTTTAGTGGATTCTGTGAGGACATACATGTGAGTATGCAGGTGTGCTAGAAAAGAATGATGGGCATCTATGCAAAGAGTCTAGTGCACTTGGTCAGAAAGACACAAATATTTTTAAGACTTACATTGTTAAAATGAATTTAATGGCTTAGGGAAGCAACTAAAAGAAAAATAATGGAGTCTGTAAGTTTCAAGCATCAGGAATACAATATCAAGGAAAAAATATTACCACAGAAAGGAGTCCAGTGAGACAAATGCATGAAAAGCAAGACGGTACAAATTAATCCAGATTTATTACTGATTACAATATATGTCATGGACTAAGGTCTTCAAGGTAAAAGGATTGTTAGTTGGGAGTTTTTCAAGTACTTAGAAGTTTCTGAAATCAAACTAAAGTATGTATAGAAAGATACAAAGTCTTAGATTTGACAACTGGTAAGTTCCCCACCAAAAAAATAAAGACACATCTACAAAGAGTACAGAAAGACTAAATAATAAAAGCAAGCTGACAGCTCATAGAATCAAGTGAATTAAAAAAAAAATAGAAAGTTTAAAAAGTTCAAGCCAAAAGTCTACTTTTTTTTCTTTTCAAACCACTTACCAGGTCCCCAATTCCATATATGGGCACACCTGTTTTTTTGTTTTGTTTTTTTTTTACATATGGTTTTGCCATATAGCCCAAGCTGGCCTTGACTTCCCAATCTTTAGCCCTTAGCCTCTTGAGTGCTGAGATTACAGGAGTGTGTCACCATGCTAGGCTTTCCAGACAAATACTCTTTGAAAGAAATCACAAATGTAATAATTTCTGCCAAGATTAACACTTGGAATCAAATGCACAAAGAAAACATTACAGAAGGCAAAACAAGGCCCAAGGTAAAATTTAATTATCTGACCTGGAACATTAAAAAATATATGACCTTTTGTTATACATGTGAACATGAAACATGTCTAGAAAAATATACTCACAATGTTTAATACTAGAAATCTTCATTGTCCTATAACTATAAAAAGCAATTGAACAAATAGCTTAAAACCAGTATAGAAAAGGGGTACCCAAAACAGTAACAATTATTCTAGACGAGAACAAATATACATGTCAAAAAATTAGGGAAAAAAATGGATTACACCTCCGGCAGGTATATAACACTGTAATAATGTACATCTAAATACTATTCAGTTCACTTTTATTTTGGTGATGCTGGGAATTGAACCTAGGGCCCTGTCCAAACTAACCATGCACTCGCCTGGTTATATAAGAAAAACTACACAGGCTGGGCCATGACTCAAGTGGTAGAGCACCTATCTAGAAGCACTGGGCCCCGATTTCAAAACCCAGTGTCACCATAAACCAAACCAAAAAAAATGCTGATGTTATTCAAACTTATCTATGGAAAAAGCTTTTACAACATGTTAGTAAACACAATCACATGAATTATTTTACAAAATGATCCAGCAGGCTAGGAACAAAACTTAGTAGCAGAGTGCTTGTCTCGATGTGTGAGGCCCTGAGCTTGATCACCAGCACTGCCAAAAAAAGAAAGGAAAAAGAAAACTAAAAGTAATCCCATATGTCCAAGCAGAGTATACCTAGAAATGGGAGGTTAACATTACAAAGCCAATAAATAATCCTAGTCAATAAATGAGCACATTTATTTGAGCCCTTTCACTCATTGACTCATTCAAGTATTTAGACATGGAAGACCAGCAACAGGTGGAGGACTTGAGTGTTATCTGGAGATGGTTATCACTGCAGAGGATACAGGGAAAGCAACGACTAACTCCCAGAGGAATTGAGCCTCATGGACATGAATTTTCAACAAATGGAATTATGCAAACACTGGGGAAGAACATCTTTAAAATACCCTCAAACAAGACAGGCAATGAGGCTGGGAACCAGTGGCTCACACCTGTAATCTCAGTTACTCAGGAGACTGGGATCTGAAGATCGCAGTTTGAAGCCAAACCAGGCAGGAAAGTCAGTGAGACTCTTATTATCAGTTACCAAACAGCTAGAAGTGGAGCTGTGGCTCAAGTGACAGAGTGCCAGCCTTGAGCAAAAGAAGCTCAGAGGAGAGCCCAGGCACTGAGTTCAAGCCCCAGGACCGGCACCAAAAAAAAAAAAAAAAAAAAGGGAAGGAAGGAAGGAAGGGCGAACGAAGGACAAAGACCTAGTTCTTAGTCGGTACTGGTGGCTCACACCTGAAGCCTAGTTACTCAGGAGGAGTAGTTACTCAGAGCTAGTTACTCAGAGCTCAGGAACAACACCCAGGAACTGAGTTCAAGTCCCACAACCAACTAAAAACAAAAGCCAAGATAAAAGTAACTTCTGTACCTTTTACCTCCATCCCTCCCAGCTCAGTAATTGGGACCAATCGCAGCCTTATGAATATTAGGCAAGTGCTGTGCCACTTAATTAAACCTTTAGCCTTAAATTTTATTGGAGGGGAGAGGAAGGGTAGGGTAAGGAGAGGAGGGGAAATTTAAAATGAATGTATAAGCCAATTGGTCTGTGGTATACCGTTTTGGCAGCCTAACCTGAAAATACCACAGATTTTGGTATTGCAGTAAAAATTACCTAAAAATGTTCAAGGTTTGAAAGTTGGATAATAGGTCAAAGGTACTCTGGTGAGGATTCACCTGGAAATCTAGTACACATTATTAGAAAATAAAGAAGAGGCCAGACACTGGTGCTTACACCTGTAATTTCAGCTACTCAGGAGGCTGGGATCTAAGGATCACAGTTCAAAGCCAGCAGGAGCAAACAAACTCAAGAGCTTCTTATCGCCAATTAACCAGCAAAAAGCCACATCTGGAGGTATGAACCAAGTGGTAGAGCACCAGTCACGAGCAAGAAAGCCCTGAGTTCCAGCCTAGTATTGGTACCTGCGCACGCATATGCGCACGCGTGCCCGCGCACGCGCACTCACGCGCGCACACACACACGCTCGCAGCAATCCTTGGTTGATATTCAATGGTAAAGAATGTGGCAGAATTGTTTTGTTTTTTGTTTTGTTTTTTGGTCGGTCTTGGGGCTTGAACTCTGGGCCTGGGCGCTGTCCCTCAGCTCTTCAGCCCAAGACGAGCGCTCTACCGCTTGAGCCACAGAGCCACTTCCCATTTTCTAGCAGTTTATTGGAGATAAGAATCTCACGGACTTTTCTGCCTGGGTTGGCTTTGAACAGTGATTCTCAGATCTCAGCCTCCTGAGTAGCTAGGATTACAGGCGTGAGCCAGAGCAGCACCTGGCTAAGAATTGTATTCTTGAATTCTGTGGAAGGTAGGATTTGAGAATGATAAAATCAAAACTTCATTTGAGATCAATACTGTTGAAGGAACAGTTTTATTTTGTTTTGTTTTCTGTAGGAACAGTTTTTTAGTAAAATACAAAAAAGAGAATCAGCCAGGCATGGTGGCTCACACCTATAATCCTAGCTACTCAAAAAGCTGAGATCAGAGGACTGAGGTTCAAAGCCAGCCCAAGCAGAAAAGTCCATGAGACGCTTATCTCTAAAGAACCAACTAAAAGTCAGAAGCGGAGCTATATCTCAAGGGGTAGAGCACTATCCTTGAGCAAAGTGATAGTGCCCAGGCCCTGAGTTCAAGCCCCAGGACCAGCACCAAAAAAAAAAAAGGAAGCAGAACTTGGAGACATGGAAAACTTTCCTATCTGTATTGCAAAATCTGGAGACACATTTTAAAAAGACAATGCTGATGGAAGGGCTGAGCAAGCACCTGACAAAGGTCATGAGTAGCATTCCTGGACGAAGTCAGCAATGTCAGAAGAAAGGGCCCAAGACTGGCTTACACTAGCATTACCATGCCATTTAAACCACAAATGGACACAAAAGGTGGGACAAGAATAGACTTTGGCCAAAGTTGATGGCTCAGGCTGTAATCCTAGCTACTTGGAAAGCTAAGATTTGAGGATGGCAGTTCAAAGTCAGCCCAAGCAAGAAAGCTTGTGAGCCTCATCACCAATTAACTACCAAAAAGCTGAAAGTGGAAGTGGCACTGTGGCTCAAGTAGTAAAGTGCTAGCCTTGAGCAAAGAAAGTTCAGGGACAGGGATCAGGCCCTGAGTTCAAGCCCTAGGACTGGCACAAAAAAAGGACTTCTAAGGGGGTAGGGCTGGGCGCTGGAGGCTCATGCCTGTCATCCTAGCTACACAGGAGGCTGAGATCTCTGAGGATCATGGTCCAAAGCCAGCCCAAGCAGAAACATCCATAGCATTCTTATCTCCAATTGACCACTAGAAAACCAAAAGTAATGCTGTGGCTCAAGTGGTAGAGCCCTAGCTTTGAGCTTAAGAGCTGAAAGACAGCACCCAGGCCCAGAGTTCAAGACCCATGACTGACAAAAATAAAAAGGAGAAGGAGGAGAAGAGGAGGGTAGGGATAACTGGCTGGGAGCATGGACTAGCCATTAAGGACAGACCTGGGCTATTCCATTCTGGCTAAGCTCAGTAGGATCAATGAGGTCAGAGATGCCTGGAAATACATCTTTCAGCAATCCCCACATCCCAGAGCATCTTGGCTGCTGAAGAATGGCACGTGAACAAGCCACGCTGGCAGCACTAACCAATGAGGGACAGGACCAGATCAACTCCACTTACCTTACACAGCATTTAGTAATACTCCAAGTACCACCAGCCCAAGCCTTGAGCATTCAGGCTCAAGTGCACAAATGGGTTTGGGGGGGCGGGGAGCGGGCAGGAGGCAGGCAGGTAGCTCAGTGGTTGAGTACTTGCCTAATATGTATGAGATCCTGGGTTTGATCCCCAGCAATGCCCCAAAGATTAGAAACTATAAGAGAGTCCCAGGGGGAATGGACAGATCTTATTCAGCCAATCAGGATGGCATCTAAGAGCAGTCAGCTGCTACAAACTACACAAGGCAGTTAAGACTAATTTAATCTAGCCAGGCACTGGTGGCTCACACCTGTCATCTGTAGCTACTCAGGAGGCTGAGATGTGAGGAACTTGGTTCAAAGCCAGCCTGGGCAGGAAAGCCCAGAAGACTTTTTTTTTTTTTTTTGTCGGTCGTGTGGCTTGAACTCTGGGCCTGGGCACTGTCCCTCAGCTCTTCAGCTCAAAGCAAGAGCTCTACCACTTGAGCTACAGCGCCACTTCTGGTTTTCTGGTGGTTTATTGGAGATAGGAGTCTCACGGTCTTTCCTGCCCGGGCTGGCTTTGAACCACGATCCTCAGATCTCAGCCTCCTGAGTAGCAGCCCAGAAGACTTTTTATCTCCAGTGAACCATACAAAAAGCCAGAAGTGATGGTGTGGCTCAAGTGGTAGATTACTAGCCATGGGCATAAAAAGCTCAGGGGTAGTGCACCCAGGCCCTGAGTTCGAGCCCTAGGACCGGCAATAATAATTATGATAATCATTATAATAATAAATGATAATCTGATGCTCTTTGGTGGCACTGTTGGCATTGAAACATGGCAGCAGGTGGGCTAAATGGCGACCCCCATGCCCTCACATTCGTAGGGCTTCTCGGTAGTGTGGACCCTCGCGTGTTTCCTGAGGCGGGAGTACACCGCAAAGGCTTTCCCACACTCCTTGCAGATGTAGGGTTTCTCGCCCGTGTGCGTACGCATGTGGATGTTGAGCGACGTGGAGTAGATGAACGCTTTCCCGCAGATGTTGCACACAAACGGCTTTTCCCCACTGTGGATTTTCAGGTGCTTCGTGCGATGGGATGAGGTGATGAAGGTTTTCCCACAGTGCACGCATTCAAATGGCTTCTCCCCGGTGTGGGTCCGCACATGGTGGATGAGGCCGGAGGTTCTGGTGAAGGCTTTGCCACACTCCTTGCACGCGAAGGGCTTCTCTCCGCTGTGGATGCGGACGTGGGTGGCAAGGCCTGAATACTGTGTGAAGGCTTTCCCACACTCCTTACACTCGTAGGGCTTGATGCCCGTGTGCGTCCGCAGGTGCTCGGTGAGCTGTGTGGATCGCGAGAACGCTTTGCCACACTCCTTACACTCGTAGGGTTTCTCTCCCGTGTGAACTCGGACGTGCTCGGTCAGGCCCGACCAGCGCAAGAACGCCTTCCCACACTCCACGCACTTGTACGACTTGATGCCCGTGTGGATCCGCACATGATCATTGAGGTACGAGATGTTTTTGAAGGATTTCCCGCACTCCTTACACACGAAGGGTTTTTCTCCACTGTGCGTTTTCACGTGGGCAGAGAGGCGGGAGAAATTAGCAAAGGACTTCCCGCATTCCTGACACGTTTTGGATTTCTCGTGGGTACGAGGATGAAGGCTCACGTACTGGGGGAGGTGTGGGGAGACGCCAAGGGCTCCCCAACACTGCTTGCACTCACAGACCTTGTCTCCTGGGCAGAGTCCCATGGGGTTCTGAAGGCAGGTGAAGTACGGGAAGTCCTTCCCATAGTCCTCACACTTGTAGGGTTTTCTCATGCTGAGAACTGGGAGCCTCATAGCCAAGTTGGAGTGAAGGAATCCACTCCCGTATTTTCCCCACTTGTGAGGATCTCTATCCTCAGTCCTCGTATCTGGAGGAAGGTAGGCCTGTTTAAAAAAGGCGTCACCACAATCTGTGCACTCAAAGGGTTTTTCTCGCATCTCGCTTCTCTGGTATATAATGTTCCGGGAGAGGCCCAAGGCATTTCCACACTGATTCAACTCAGGCTCATTCTGTCCTGGATGCATTTCCTTAAACAAAGAAAGCACGTCTTTTCCATACCAGCTGCACTCAGACGTGAGCCCTGGATCCTCCCTTCCCACGGGGCTATGAAGATGCACCTGTCTACCCAAGGCTTCTCCACACGGTGGAAGGTCACCCGGCTCCCCTCTGTGGAAGCTGCTTGCCTGTGAATGAAGGATGGATGGGATTAAGGCACTGTGCAGACATACACGTACACTTTACCACCTGAGGGCAGAAACGTTTTTGGTGATCCCTATGACACTTCCCATTACACACCATCATTTCCCAAGCTCTTCATTCCTTTCAGAAAAGATGGAGCTCTGGTCCAGAATGCAGTGACTCTGGCTCTAATTGTAATGAGACTGTGTAAAGTCTCATAAAATTCCTATGTATAGTAGCATTTGCAGAACTACAAAGCAGTGGCTTCATGCTAGTTTATTTGTATTTTGGTGTGTGTGTGTGTGTGTATTCTGGAGCTTGAACTCAGGGCCTGGGCGGGTCTCTTAGCTTTTTTGCCCAAGGCTGGCACTCTACCACTTGAGCCACAGCTTCACCTTTAGATTTTCTTTTTTTTTTTCCTTAACGGTTAATTGGACATAAGAATCTCATCAACTTTCCTGCCCAGGCTGTCCTTGAACTGTGATCCTCAGATCTCAGCCTCTTGAGTAGCGAGGATGACAGGGATGAGCCACTGGTGCCCTGCCATGCTAGGTTTACAGCACCACCCCATGTTAGACTTACGACATTACTCCACACTAGGTTTATGGTACCACATCACACTAGCTTTACGGCATCTCTAAACACACGGTGCACAGCATCTGTCCAGAGGCAGTGCTGTGTCCCACTGGGTGCACAGTACCCCTCACACAGCTCCTACTGGATTTTCCACAAAGGAATTCCCAGAAAAGAATTCTCTTTTGTGAGAGCAGGAAATAAATTCCCCTTTGCTGACCTTACCGTTGATATCCCACTGGAAGTTGGTATCCTAAAATAATTCTGAGGCTCTGATCCACAGGTTCTAGGTTGCTCTTCTAATTCTGAAGTTAAACGGAAAGAAAAATATCAGGGCTAATGGAAATCAATGGCAGGCAGAAGGAGTTAAAGTGATAAGGATTATTTGTTCTTGTTTGGAAATCATATGTAAGAGAAAGAGTAAGCCAGAAGTGGTGCACACTTATAATCCTACTACTTGTGAGGCTGAAGCAGGAGAATTAAGTTCAAGTCCCCAGCCAGAAGTACTGAATGAATTCTGTTGAGGAAAGAAGGAAAAGGAAGAGGAAGGGGAAGAGAAGAAAAGGACAGATATACTTAAGCATTTTGCTATGTAAAGACTTAGCAAGCCAGGGATTGATGGCTCATGATATAATCCTTCTCTGGAAGCTGAGATCTGAGAAACACAGTTCAAAACCAACCTGGGAGCCCAGCACTGGTGGCTCACACCTATAATTCTAGCTATTCAGAAAGCTGGGATCTGAGAATTACGGTTCAAAACCAGCCCAGGAAGGTAAGTGAGGCTTATCTTCAATGAATCATAAGAAAATTGCAAGTGCTACTAGGGCTCAAAATGGGAGAGCACTAGCCTTGAGCACAAAGCTCAGGGACAGTGTCCAGGACCTGAGTTCAAGCCCCACAACAGACCAAACACAAACAATCTGGGCAGACAAAACCACCAAACTTATCTCCATTGAACAAGCAAAAAGTTGGAAGTAGAAGCATGGTTCCAGTGGTAGAGTATCAACCTTGAGCAAAAAAGCCAAGCAAGAGCATGGGGCCCAGAGTTCAGTACCCATACCAAAAAGTAAATTCAAACTAAGTAAGCCAGGCACAGTGGCTCACACCTGTAACCCTAGCTACGCAGCAGGCTGAGATCTGTAGATTGAGATTCGAAACCAACCCAGGCAAGAAAGTCTGTGAGACTCTTAACTCCAATGAACCACCAGAAAATGGGAAGTGGCGCTATGCCTCAAAGTGGTAGAGCACTAGCCTTGAGCAAAAAGAGCTTAGGGGCAGAGCCCTGACCCTGAGTTGAAGCCCAATGACCAGCAAAAAAATTAAAGTAAGAATTTAGCAATAGCACCAGGTGGTGTGGCTCTATATTTAAGAGCCTGTGTTGTATACGCAAGACACAGGGTTCCCTTCCCAGCAATGCAGGGGAAAAATAACCAAGACATAAAGACATGGGGGGAGAGACAGTCAACATGCTAGCAAGTTCATACAAACTCAGTCTATCAAAGTGGAAGTGGAGATGATTAGAAAATGAAAGGAAGAAAGATCTGGGAAAGCAGCCCACAGGGTTCCCCAGTAGAAGCAGACCAGGTAAGCTGCATAAGGCAGAGCAGAGGGTTGAGTAGACAGTGGCTTCCACCTCCTGACACCAAGTCCATCTGGAGAAATGTCAACAGTGGACGCAACACCAGAGGAACTCATTCACAGATACTCACCCTGAATTCCTGCGCCTTCCACGGGCCCCAACACTTCTTGTGTTAACCAGAGGATCACACGAGGCATGAAGAACTGACACCCTGTGAAGGGAGGGCGGCGGGGAGGGGGGAGGACGAGGACACAAGAATGGCAGAGGCTCATGGAGGTGACTGATGGTAACCTTCATGGACTAAGGAGAGTGCAGGCCCATCCAAAGCAATGACACCCATTCCAAATGTGTGCCAAGGCGCACACGAGGGTTTAGGGGTCGAGTGCTTCCTCAGCCAACTGCAGGCTGATATCTGCTCTATACATTTACAAAGCACAAAGACTTTCATTCCAGGGCCTGCGGGGGTAGGGGTGGAGCTTAGTGGGAGAGCTCCACCTACCCCACCCCTCACAAACACACACAGACATAGATGAATACTGACAAAACAGATCTACTTTGTGGGGAATGGTAGCACATGCCTGTAATCCCAGCACGAGGGAAGCTAAGGAGGCAGGATCATTAAGTTTCACTGTTACTTCTGGTTCTGGGGTAGGTTAGAAGGAAGGACGCAGCCTTACCCAAGGTAGCCAGGTTCTTGTAGTTCTCCAACATCACGTCCCTATACAGGGTTCTCTGAGCTGAGTCCAACAGCGTCCACTCCTCTGGTGTGAATTCCACAGCCACATCGTCAAAGGTCACGCAATCCTAAACCATCACACACACACATGCTGCTTTGAGCCAACTGTGAGCTCTGCTGGTATTCGTGGAGGAGAACAAATGCCTCGATGTGGCTCTGAAGTCTCCCCAAAATCCTTTCTTCGGGGGGAGCAGGTATCAGGCTAGGGGCTCTGCTTTAACGTCACTCACTGTGGCCTCTGACCTCCATGTCTTTTTTTTTCTTGGTCTCTGGGACTGGACGGTGTCCCTCAGCTCTTCAGCTCAAGGCGAGCACTCTACCACTTGAGCTACAGCACCACTTCTGGTTTTCTAGTGGTTTATTGGAGATAAGAGTCTCACAGACTTTTCTGCCTAGTCTGGCTTTGAACCGCGATCCTCAGATCTCAGCCTCCTGAGTAGCTAGGATGACAGGCGTGAGCCACCAGCGCCCGGCCCTCATCTTTGATAGCACTCCTGTAGCTTTATGCTTTTGTGCCGGTTCTAGGGCGTGAACTAAAGGCCTGGGAGCTGTCCCTTTGCAGCTTTTCATTCAAGGCTAGAACCATAGCTCTACTTCTGGTTTTCTGGTGGTTCATTGGAGTCTCATGAACTTTCCTGTCTGGGCTGGCTTTGAACCACAATCCTCAGATCTTGGCGTCCTGAGAAGCTAGGATTACAGGGATGAACCACCAGCACCCAGCTAACAGCAGCACTTCCAGGCTAGGAACCCATGTCTTGTTTCTCTATTGTAGCAAGTTCTGAGCACACTGAAGTATCTGGGAAATGTTAAGGACTAAATCCTTAAGCACAAAGATACTGTCATCTGCATTACTACCTGTCCAAGCACATAGCAAAACAAAAAATGTGGAAGAGCACTGGCCTTCAGCAAAAAGGCCAAGCAAGAACTTAAGACCTGAGTCCAAGCCCCAGTACCAGCACCAAAAAATAAAAAAGTTATGTCATCACATGAGCCTTAAGACTAATTAGGAGCCTGGGATAGCAGCTCATTCCTTTAATCCCAGCACTGCACTGAGAAGGCTGAGGCTAAGCTGGGCTACAAAGCGAGTTCCAGGCTAGTATACATGGCCAGAGCCTGTCTCAAAGATAGATAGATAGATAGCTTACCTAGCATGATATAATCCTGGGTTCAATCCGCAAGAGCCCCAGGACAAATTATGACTTACTAACAACTGGGACAGACATGCCCGCTTTCCATTCCTCTGGTGCAGTTTTCTACGAGACCCTGTCTACATCAAACCTTTACCAGCATTGAACTCAGCCATGAAATATCACTTATCACTACTGGCATGATTTTTGAGACCAATATAAGGCTGAGCTCCCTGGAAAAATTCAACTAAGGACTCAGTCCTTTTGGTGAGATTGTATTTCCTTTAAGAAGTTCTGGCCACGGGTGGTAGTTGATGCCTTTCATCTTAGCTAGTTGGGAGGTAGCTCTGACTGCAGTTCAAAGCTATCCAGGGCAAAGAGTTAGGGAGACTCCTCCCCTCCCCGCCGTACCCCACCCACCCCTCTTCCCCCCCCCCAGCCACATCATCATCTCAACAAACAAGCTGGGGGTGGCAGTACACATCTACAATTCCAGCTACACAGAACCCGTAAGTAGGAGGATCGCAGTCCGAGGCTTATTCAAGCTAAAAGTGCTAGATCCTATCTGAAAAAAAGTAACGAAAGCAAAAAGGGCTGAGGACATGCCTCAAGTGATAGAACACCTGAGTGCAAGGCCCTGAGTTCAAACCCCAGTAGAGAGTGAGTTACAGAACTCTGCAGGTGAGTATATCCAGAAGGAAGGTGTGTAGCTTGTGGAAGGAAGGGCTTGCCTCTGTAGCACTGCACCCTTGCTTGTACCTGGGAACAGCTTTCCTGGCGGTCAGCCACTGTCCCATCTACTGCTGACTCTTCTTCATATACGTGGACAGGCTCTCTGAAAAGAAGGCCTGGAAGGAAACACAGAGAGAATCAGAACCCAGAGGGGCCTTTAAGGGTGGGGCAGTCCTGGGGCTTGAACTCAGGGCCTGGGCACTGTCCTTGAGACTTTACACTCACGGCTAGCACTCTACCCCTTGAGCCATAGCTCCACTTCCAGTTTTTTGGTGGTTAACTGGAGATGTCTCGTGGACACCAGGCGTCCCATGGCTCATACCTCAGGAGACTGTGAGATCTGAGGATTGTGGCTTGAAGCCAGCCAGGCAGGAAAGCCTGTGAGACTCTTATCTCCAATGAACCACCACTTCCAGCTTTTCGAATCTCAGACTTTCCTACCTGGGCTGGCTTCAAATTACAATCCTCAGATCTCAGTCTCCTGAGTGGCTAGGATGACAGTGTGAGCACTGACAACACAGCTCCCATTCAGCTCTTGGTAAAGGAAGCAGCTGCAGAGCCTCGCCCAAGCAGGCCACAAGGACTTACCATGGCAGAGATCGATGGCTGCCATCCTCTAAGGCTGGTGGTGCAGGGAGCCCACACACTCCCTTCCCTGGGGCCAAGGCGAGCACAGCTTAGGAGTCCAAGTGGACAGTGGCATCCCCCATTCCTCCGTATTCAGGGTGACATGGAGTCCTGTTCACAATCAGTGGTCAGCAACAGCAAATATCAGTCATTAAACATCACACATGGGTTTTTGCTCTCTGAAACTAGTATTGTCTACTCGAGAACCATGATATTACATCAGCTAACTTTGTGTGTGTGTGTGTGTGCACGCGCGCGCACGTGCACGCGCATGTGTGCGTGCTGGTTCTGGGGCTTGAACTCAGGGCCTAGGCATTGTCCTAGCACGGCTTAGTGCTCTACCACTTGAGCCACAGCTCCACTTCTGTTTTTTTCTGGTGGCTAACTGGAGATAAAAAGTCTCACAGAATTTGCTGCCCAGACTGGCTTTGGACCTCGATCCTCGGATATCAGCCTTCTGAGTAGCTAGGATGACAGGTGTGAGCCACCGGCATCCAGCTGTACCACCCTTTTTTTTTGGGGGGGGGGGTCTGGTCGTGGGGCTTGAACTCTGGGCCTGGGCGCTGTCCCTCAGCTCTTCAGCTCAAGGCTAGCACTCTACCACATGAGCCACAGCGCCACTTCCGGCTTTTTTCTTTTTGCTTATGTAGTGCTGAGGAATTGAACCCAGGGCCTCAGGCATGCAAGGCAAGCGCTCTACCACTGAGCCACCTTCCCAGCACCCCCCCTTAGTTTTTTTCTACCTCAAAGCTAGTGCTCTACCACTTGAGCCAGCTCACTTCCAGCTTTTTGCTGGTTAGTTAGAAATAAGAGTCTCACAAACTTCCCAGCCTGGACCGACTGTGACACAATCCTCCTATCTCAGCCCTCAGAGTAGCTAAGATTACATGCAAGAGCTACAAGCACTCACTCCCAAGGGCAGGGATTACAGGCATACAACATCACCCAGCACACAGCATTACTTGTAAGAAATAGAAACCCACTTCACTGCAGAGGAACTGTAACACATGCACGTCTGCACAATCAGGTCGTTGTATCAGATGCCTAATGGACATGAGGTAGAACTTCAAAATGAAGGCTCAGACAGGGCAGAGGGTGGAGCTCAGTGACAGAGCAATTGCCTAGATCCTCACATAGGAACATGGCTTCTACTCCCAGAGCCATAATGGGAGAAACTGTCAGGCAAGGTAGCTCACACCTGTAATCCTAGCTACTCAGGAGGCTGAGATCACAGTTTGAAACCAGCTCAGGAGGGCAAGTCTGTGAGACACTTATCTCCACTTAAACACCAAAAAGCCAGAAGTGGAGCTGTGACTCAAGTGGTCAAGCGCCAGGCCTGAGTTCAAGCCCCAGACTACAATATGACACCAACTCCCTTCCCCCAAAGAGCTAAGGAAGTACCCACATAAAGTACACCTTGATACCAAGTACAGAAGCAGGAACTGTAAGGATGTATTTTCTCTCTTTCCAATTATTTCAATCAATCTATCTATTTATCTATTCTTGTGCTGGTCTTAGGGCTTAACCTCAGGGCCTAGGTACTGTCCATGAGCTTTTTTTTTTTTTTTGCTCAAGGCTATATCACTCTACCACTGTGAGTCACAACTGCATTTTATCTTTTTGCTGGTTTATTGGAGAAAACGAGTCTCACAGACTTTCCTACCCAGGTTGTCTGAGAACTGCAGTCCTCACCTCTCAGCCTCTTGAGTAATTAGGATTATAAGAGAGCCTTCAGGTCCTGGCATATGTGTGTGTGTGTGTACATATATATACTTACAGATACACATTTTTTTTTTTTTTTTGGTCGGCCGTGGGGCTTGAACTCTGGGCCTGGGCATTGTCCCTCAGCTCTTCAACTCAAGGCGAGCGCTCTACCACTTGAGCTACAGCGCCACTTCCTCGGCTCACATTTATTTCTACATAGTTATATATATATATTTATTGTTATATGTTTGTGTATATTTTAACACAAATATTGCAGGTTAACTTACAATTTTAGTCTTGAGCTGTACTCCCAACCCTTTTGGCTTTAGTTTTTTGTTGTTTTTTGTTTGTTTGTTTTTGGTTGGGACTTAGACCCTCAATCTTCCTTAACTTTCTCTGGTAGCTCTGATGACAGACACACATTACCACCCACAGACTTCCTGTTGAAAAGGGATATCACATAAATTTTTGCCTGAGTTGATCTGGACCTGCAATCATCCTAATCTCTGCCTGCCAAGAAGCTGGGATTACCGGTGTGCGCCACCACACCCCAAAACACAGGTTTAAGTAGTTCTCCTTGGCCCTGAACATGGTAATTTTTGTCTGCAGGGCTGAGGGAAAAGAGGTCAGTTGGTAATAGTGTTTGCATTGCACACCTGAGGCCCTTATGAAACACCCCCACCACCACAAAAAATAAAAGCAAAACTTTAAACCGGACACTGGTGAGTCATACCTGTAATCCCTGCTACTCAGGAGGCTGAGTTCTGGGGATCAAAGTTCAAAGACAGCAGCAAAGTACATGAGTCTCTAAAATCTCCAATTATCTACTCAGAAAAAGCTGAAACTGGCCCTGTGGCTCAAGTGGTAGAGCGCTTGCCTTAAGCAAAATGAAACTCAGGAACAGTGCCCAGACCAGCCCACATAGACACAAATTTTTTCCCAGTAGTGGGACTATTAGAGAGACATTAAAGGAGGGAAAACTTCAGCTAGACAGGCTTCAAGTGGAAGAGCACCTGTCCAACAAGGTTGAAGCCATGAGTTCGAACTCCAGTACTACCAAAAAGTAAAAACATTATCCAGACAACAGTGGCTCACACCTGTAATCCTAGCTTCTCAGGAGGCTGAGATCTGAGGAATTCGTTCAAAGCCAGCCAGGGACAGAAAAGTCCATGAAATTCTTATCTCCAATGAACCACGGAAGAACCAGAAAAGGCAATGGAACTCAAGTGGTAGGGTTCTAGTCCAGCAGTATGAGGCTGTGAGTTCAAACTCCAGTACTGCCAAAAATGAGGCAAATATGGCCTAATGTCCAGCCAATGTCAAAACATCTCTTCAGAGCCCTTGCTGCAGGAAAGTGGAATTGATTCCACAATCCCACACAGAATGGTCTAGAACATTCCCTGGGAAAATGGGAGTCCTAGTTTGGATAGGCAGAACCCCAAAGTGAACTGAAAGCCATTCAAAGAGGCTTTGACAGTTTATAAATACAAACATGTCCTAAGATGAATATTTCTCTTTTTTTTCCTTTTATTTTTTGTTGTTGTTGTTGGCTGTGGGGCTTGAACTCTGGGCCTGGGCGCTGTCCCTCAGCTCTTCAGCTTAAGGTGAGTGCCCTACCACTTGGACCACAGCGCCACTTCTGGTTTTCTAATGGTTTATTGCAGATAAGAGTCTCACAGACTTTCCTGCCCAAGCTGGCTTTGAACAGTGATTCTCAGATCTCAGCCTCCTGAGTAGCTAGGATTACAGGCATGAACCACCAGCACCCAACTTTTCTCTTTTTTTTACCTTGGTGCTGGCACTGAGGCTTAAATTCAAAGCCTGGGTGCTGTCCCTGATCTTTTTTTTATGTTAATGTTTTTTGTGGGGTTTTTTGTTTTTTGTAGGTCATGGGGCCTGAACTCTGGACCTGGGCGCTGTCCCTCAGCTCTTCAGCTCAAGGCAAGGGCTCTACCACTTAAGCCATAGTGCCACTTCTGGCTTTTTCTGCTTATGGGGTGCTGCAGACTCGAACCAAGGGCCTCATGCATGCAAGACGAGCACTCTACCACTTAGCCACCTTCCCAGCCCCAATGTTACTGTTTTTACTACTTAAGCCACAGCTCACCTTCCAGCTTTTTGCTGGTTAATGGGAGATTAAGATTCTTGTGGACTTTCCTGATCAAGTTGCCTTTGACTATGGATCCTTCAGATCTCCATCTCCTGAGTAGCTAGGATTACAGGCATGAGCCACTAGGGTGGCCCAGCTCCTTCCACCTTTCAGAGACAGTCTCACAGACTTTTCTGCCCCAGTATGGCCTCCAACTAAGCTTCTCTAGGTCTCAGCCTCATCGGTAGATAGGATGGACCCATGGGTGCCCAGCTAATGCCTGTAATTTTCAACTGACTGTCAAATAGTTCACCAGAGGGCTAGGAATGTGGCTTCGTGGTAGAGTGCTTGCCTAGCATGCAGGAAGCCCTGAGTTCAGTTCCTCAGTACCACATACACAGAAAGAGCTGGAAGCGGTGTTGCGGCTCAAGTGGCAGAGTGCTCGCCTTGAGCACAGAGAGGACACAGCCCAGGCCCTAAATTCAAGCCCCAGAACAGGGGGGAAAAAATAGTTCATCAGAAAATGTATTTCATCAGTTAACTTCATCATTAGTAGCCTAACAAAGCCTCCATTCTTTCTCCCAGAAGTCTTGGAGTGGTACAAGCCTAGCATAGCTTAGTGCTGGGGTAGGAATGTGGCCAAGGGTTTCTTAGCATGCATGAAGTCCTGGATTCCATCCCCAACACAAACACACAGCCAGACACACACACATGAAAGAGAATTGCTTAGTATTCTTGATTTTCTGCAATAAAGAGACGAATTTAAAGTCTCTGCAGGTTTATATTTACATAAAGGCATCATGCAACCTACAGGCTTCCGGAGAGAAAGTTATTTCTTAACTTCCTACTAGAATGCAATGTGCCCCCATTAAACACAAGCCATCCAGAGAAAGCGCAAGTTTCAGATGAAACATTCATTCCCCTGAAAATGAGAGAGAGAGAGCGAGCGGGCGCGCGGTTCTCCTGACCCACCTTGCTGCTGAAGGGTGCAGGGCCCGTTCCTCCTGACTCCAACCCAGGCAATTCAATTCCTTGAGAGGAAGGGGGGCGGGGGGGGAATAAAAAAATTGTGCAAGGTTACAGTGGAGGCTTTAGAAGGGTGGCCGCGAGGCTGCGGAGGACGAGCCCTGATCACACTTCCCGCCCCGGCACCTGGGGTGGGGGTGCGGTGGGGGTGGGGTGGCGGCCTGAGAGGCCCCTCAGACACGGTGGTCACACCGGGGGCGCGGGGCAGGGCGGGGAGCCTGCAGCCCCCCGGGGCACGCCATCCGGACGCGTCCGGCCTCTCGGAAGAGATTCCTTCCATCACCTCGGGCCAAACGCGTGCCTTCACTTCCCCTTTTTCTCCAACCCAGCCTCACCCAGGCCCCGCGGGAGACCCGCGACCATCACGGAGGGCAGCGTCCCGACAGCCGAGCCCAGGGGGCGGGGGGAAAGGCGGCGATGGGGGGGCGGGGAGGAGTTGGTGACATCACTTCCGCTTCCGGACCGGAGGGCCGAACCAGCCACGCAGGACCTTTTCAGGCAAAGAGAGTCTTGTTTCTTTAGTGGTCTCCGATGTGTGTGTTGGAGGCGGGGGCAGGAGGGAAGGGGTGGGCAGCTGGACTTCCCCCCTCCATCCAGAGGGTGGGCTCCACGGAGGGAGGGAGACAAGGCTGAAAGAGACCCCGAGGCCCAGCTGGAGGTCAGAACGTGGCCGAGGAGGGCGGCTCCAGAGGGGGCGGTGGGCGTGGTCTTGCGGGTGGGCGTGGTCTTGCGCCAGCGCTGTGTGGATGGAGAAACCTGTGGGGCGAGGATGAGGGTGAGGCTGGGGGTGGGGAGAGGGGGGGGCATGGCCCCTGGGGATGCTGACAAAAGCTTTTCCGCCCTGCCTCTCCCCACGCTTCCCCGGGGCCTCCCGGTAATCTGCTGTCACGTTGCTTAATCTGCCAACCCCTGTAGAATGACCTGTCTCCATTCAAGCAATAGCAGGCCATCTGACATTTATTATTATTTCAAAGCCCTTCGGTGGTGGCTCTGATGCCTGTAATCCTAAACCACTCAGGAGCCTGAGATCTGAGGATCATTTGGCATGCCTTGGGCAGGAAAGGCCTGTGAGACTTTTTTTTTGGCCAGTCCTGGGGCTTGAACTCAGGGCCTGGGCACTGTCCCATTGCTCAAGGCTAACAGTCTACCATTTGAACCACCGCGCTAATTCTGGCTTTTTCTGTTCATGTGCTACTAAGGAATCAAACCTAGGGCTTCATGCAGGCTAGGCAGCACTCTATCACTAAGCCACATTCCCTGCCCCTTGAGACTCTTCTGTCTCCATTGAACCACCCAAAAAAATGCTGGAAGTGGAGGTGTGGTTCAAGTGGTAGAACACCAGCCAGAAAAAGCTAAGGGGCAGACCCCAGACCCTGAATTCAAGCCCCAGTACTGGTACAAACACAAGCAAAAACTTTTATTTCAATTTCTTTTTTGTAATATGCTAAAACCTTAATTGTTGATTCTGTTGTATTTTTAATATTAAGAAAGTACTTTTGTATGCTCAGGTTTGGGTGTTTTTCCCCTCAAATTTTCCCCCCACATTTTTCAAATGTATGCTTCTCGCTCTGCTTTTTTTTGCGGGGGGGGGGTCCAGTCGTGGGGCCTGAACTCTGGGCCTGGGTGCTGTCCCTCAGCTCTTTAGCTCAAGGCTAGCGCTCTACCACTTGAGCCACAGTGCCACTTCCGACTTTTTTCTTTTTGCTTATGTAGTGCTGGGGAATCAAACCCAGGGCCTCATGCATGCAAGGCAAGCGCTCTACCACTGAGCCACCTTCCCAGCCACTCTCCCTCTGTTTCTACTCTCTCTTTGTCTCTGTTGGCTTTCATTACTTGTGACTTAAACAGAGGGCTCAAACCCCCCCACCCCCATGCCATGTTACAAAATAACTACATTTTTCCATTGTGCAGCAATGGTTTCTAAAGTTTCTTCTCTCCAGGAATCATGTTTGCTGTGGTGTTTATTGGGTGTCTTTTGTGGCATTCTGGTTATGTTAAATACTGGCTTACTAGCATATTTCATCAATAGTTGGTGTGCATTATCAAATCAGCCTCAGGAAACTGCCAAATTTGAGCCCATTGTTGCATCCTCTGCTGTACCCAATACTACCTTTTTGTGGTATGCTTGTATTAGAGCAGGACCTCATGCTCTCACTCAGCTTTTTTTCTCTCCCAGCTGATCCTCTACCACTTGAGCCTCTCAGTTCTCTATCATAAAGCTGCTTCCATTTTTCTGGAGATGGATTCTCATGGTCTTTTCTTCCCGAGCTGACTTTGAGCCAAGATTCTCTGGGTCTCAGCCTAGAGGATGTAAAAATATGAAGTATCATGAGCCACTGTTAGTTACACAGCTACACATTTTAGGGGTTTTTTTTCGGGGGGGGGAGGGTGTTTGTTTTGGTCCATCATGGGGCTTGAACTCAGGGCCTGGTTGCTGTCTCTGAATTCTTTTGCTCAAGGCTAGAGCTCTACCATTTTGAGCCACACCTCCACTTTGGGTTTTCTAATGATTAACTGGAGATGAGAGTCTCAGGGCTTTTCCTGCCCAGGTTGGATTCAAACTACAATCCTCAGATCTCAGCCTCGTGAGTGCTAGGATTACAGGTATGAGCCAGCAGTGTGCGGCTGGCGGGGTTAAGTGGGTGCCCTCTGGAGTTGATATACACATTTGTATTATAAACCAGATACAATCCCAAGCTAGCCTACCAGCAGCAGGGCCCTCAGCCAACAGACTGGTGTGCTGCCGCTCTGAACAATTGTTTGGGGGATTTTGGTGGAAGTGTAGTTGTGAATGGGTCCCTCAACAAATGGCAGCTGGGCCTGAAACATGGGGCAAGGTAGGAAAGTCAGTTATCTCTCCAGTCTCTGTGAACTGGGGGTAAAATAGAAACTTCCTAAAGATAAGGCCTTAGGTAAAACATGAACTTTGGAGGTTCATTGATTTACTGGAGATCACAGGAGTCTCCCGGAGTGGTCTGTGAGGTCTGGCTTTGCACTGTTAAATTCAGATCTCATCCTCCTGGGTAGCCGAGATTACAGGCATGAGCTACCAACACCCAGCTAAAGCAGGGATCTTGAAAGAAGTCTTCACGTTTCCATCTCTCCAATTATCCATGCTTGCCAGCCTCAGTGTCAAGGCCTGTCTCTTGTCCCAGAGCATTAGGACATAAATTAGGACCCTAAACAGCTTCACTGACTTCCTTCTGCCCAGCAGCTCCCATTCCAGAACTGAGAGTGGGTTTTGTGGTCTCTGTTGTACTAAGGGCTGGGGGCGCTGCTTCAGCCCTAAATAAAGCACACCTGAAGGGGAATCTGTCTACTGCCTCTTCACTGTTATCTTTTTTCTTTTTCCTTTTGCAATATGCAAAAGAGCTCACTCTAGCTCAGCTTGCTTGCTTAATCTGGTGGTGCTCTACCACCTAGGCCATGTCTCCAGTCTTGTCTTTTGCTGATTATTTTGGAGATAGGGTCTCAGGGATTTTTCTTCCTGGGCTAGCCTTGAACCATGATCCTCTAGGTCTCAGCCATCTAAGTAGCTGGGACTATACATGTGAGCCTCTGGCTTTCTTTGTTCTTGAAAAAAAAAAAATCTGTGTTCTTTTTTTATTTCAGTACTGAGGCTTAAATTCATCCCCCAACCCTGATTGTTGTTGTTTTGGGTTTTGGGTTTGTTTTTTGTTTTGTTTTGTTTTTTTGGGGTCCGGTCGTGGGGCCTGAACTCTGGGCCTGGGCGCTGTCCCTCAGCTCTTCAGCTCAAGGCTAGCACTCTACCACTTGAGCCACAGTACCACTTCCGGCTTTTTTCTTATGTGGTGCTGAGGAATCGAACCCAGGGCCTCAAGCATGCAAGGCAAGCGCTCTACCACTGAGCTACCTTCCCAGCCCCTGGGTTTTGGGTTTGTTTGGATTTTTTTTCTTTTTGGTTGTTGTTGGTGGTGGTTGTTTTTTTGGGAGTCCGGTCATAGGGCCTGAACTCTGGGCCTAGGCGCTATCCCTCAGCTCTTCAGCTCAAGGCTAGCGCTCTACCACTTGAGCCACAGCACCACTTCTGGCTTTTTTCTTTTTGCTTATGTGGTGCTGAG